AAAATTCATGTGTAAATGCAAGAAACCCAGAATAGCCAAAATAGTCTTGAAAAATGAAATAAAGACTCACACTTCCTAATTTCAAAATATACTACAGACCTATATTAATCAACACAGTGTGGTGCCAGAATAAGGACAGACGTGAGAATCAATGGAGTAGAACTGAAAGTCTAGAAATAAATCTTTACTTACGATAAGTTTATTTTTTGAAAGGGTGCCAAGAGAACAAACTGAAAGAAAATGTAGTCTTTTCTACAACTGGTGCTGAGTAAACTAAATATCCACATGCCAAAGAGTGAAGCTAGACTCCTACTTCACACATATAAAAAATACCTCAAAAGAGTTCAAAGATCTAAATGATAAGAGATGAACTGTAAAAATTTTAGAAGACAGAAAGAAGTAAATATTAGTGACTCTGGGTTAGGCAATGACTCATTAGATAGAACACTAAAGATGCAAGTGACAAAAGAAAAAATAGATAAATTGAACCACATCAAAATTAAAAACTGATGTACTACAAATGGCATCAACAAAAACAGAAAAGACACCCTGTAGAAGAGGGGAAACCTTTGCAAATTACACATATGATAGGGAACTAGTAAATAGAATATAAATAGATTTCATATTTGCAATTCAATAGCAAAAATTAAATAGCCCAATTTAATAACAGACCAAGGATTTACATAGATATTTATCCAAAGAAGATACACAAATGGCCAGGAAACACTGAAAAGGAGCTCAGCTTCATCGTCATCAGGGAAATGCAAACCAAAACCTCACTGCGCTCCCTTTAGGATGTAATGTACAGACAAAAGATAACAAGCACTGGTGAAGATGTGAAGCAATTGGAACTCCCACTCACTGCTGGTGGGGATGTAAAATGAGAGGTAGTTCCTCAAAATGCTACACATAGAGTTACCATCTGGCCCTGTAATTCCATTCCTAGATACATAACAAAGTGAAATGAAAACATATGTCCACCCCAAAATTCATACACACACATTTATAGCAAGATTATTAACAACAGTCAGAAAGTAGAAACAAGGCCTGGGCACAGTGACTCATGCCTGTAATCCTACCCACTTGGGAGGTGGAGATGGGAGGATTGCAAGGCCAACCTGGGCAAAAGTTAGCTAGATCCCATCTCAACAAAAAAAGGTGGTACGCATCTATCATCCCAGCTATGTGGAAGGCTTAAGTAGGAGGATTGCACACATGTGCAATGGAAGCAACACTAGGAATCTCTCTGTATAGCTTTCTCTCAAACTAGCAAAAACGCTATAGCTTTCTTATTGTCTCTTATGTTTTCTCTTCAACAAAATTGGAGAACAAGAAGGTGGAACAGGTTCTGCCTGGAAGCGGGGGTGGAGGGGGTAAGGAGGTGGCCCAAACGATGTATACACATGTGAGCAAATGTGAAAATGATTAAAAAATTTTTTTTAAAAGGCCAGCCCACAGACAAAAAAAAGTTAGCAAGAGAACCCCCATCTCAACCAATAGCTGGGCACGGTGGCATGTACCTGTCATCCCAAGCTACACAGGAGGCTGAGATCAGGAGGATCCAGGCCAGCCTAGGCAAAAAGCAAGACCCCATCTCCAAAATAAGGAACTGAAGGCATGGTTCAAGTTGTAGCATATCTACCTAACAAGCACAAAGTCTTGAGTTCAAAAACCCTAGAACCAAAAGACAAGCATAAAGGTAGAGTATCCATTAACTAGTGATTAGGTACACAAAATGTGCTGTATTCATACAATGACATATAAAAATACTGGTACATGCTACGACACGGGTGAACTTTGAAAACAGTATGCTAAGTGAAAGAAGCCAGATGTAAAGGACCACATTTTGTATGTATATAAAATGTTCCAAATAGGCAAATCTATACTTAGAAGTCTTTACTGCTGGGAAGATGAGGAGAAGTGAAAAATGACTGCTATTGAGTATAGGGTTTCTTTTGAGGGCAACGAACATGTTCTAAAATTGATTGTCCTGATGGTTGCACAACACTGTGACTAAACTAAAAACCATTAAATCATATAGCACGAGGCAAAAAAAAAGTAATACTCTTCCTGAAAAATAACTAAAGCAAAAAGGGAGTGGTAGAGCACCTGCTTAGCAAGCATGAGGCTCTGAGTCCAAAGCCCAGTACCATGAAGAAGTAGAAACAACCTCAATGTCTACCAATGATGAATGATGAATAAAATATGGTATAGAAACCATGCCATATTACTTTGCACTAAGAAGAAATGGCATATGAATACATACTACAATAAGGACGAACCCTGAAAAAAAATGCCGAGGGAAAGAAACAGTCACAAAGGACCACATATTTTATGATTCACTTATATGAAATATTCAGAATAGGCAAACCTGTAGATACAGAGGTAGACTGATGGTTGCCTGGGACTTGAGAGTGGGATGCAATTGGGAACTGACTGCTAAATTGGCATGAGGTTTCTTTTTGTGATAATGAAAAATGCCCTACAATTGTATTGTGGCAATATTTGCAGAATTCTGGTGGCCATACTAAAAACAACTGAACTCTATACTTTAGATGGGTGAATTGTATGGTATGTTAATTGTATCTCAATAAATCTCTATAAAAAATGAAAGAAGTGGGCATCAAGAAAAATGTTTTGAAAGTTAAGATTGGGGAAAGGTGATAAATGAGTAACTAATTTAGGGACTCAGTAGGGTAAAGTGTGAAGGATCAGGGTAAGGTGTGAAGGATCAGGGTAAGGTGTGAAGGATCAATGGAAGCAGTGAGGTCAAAGACATGGACAATAGAAGAGAATAAAGGAGGGCAGGTGTTGTGGGGATGGAACAGGAATAAGGTGTGGTTAGATGGGTGGGCAGGGGCTAGATGATGCAGGCTTTGGGGGTCCATGTTAATGACTCTAGACTTACCTTTTACAGCAATGGGAAGACACTGAAGGGTTTTAACTTTGAGGATGCAGTGAGTGGATCTGAATTTTTAAAAGCATACTCTGTCTGCAGGAAATTGATTTGAGGGATATGAATGGATATAGTAAAATGAGATCAGGAGCCAATGCAAGCTTCAGGGGAGACAGATGATGTCTAAGAAATCCAAATTGAAGTAGTTTCAGGGAAGAGTGGGGGTAAGGACATAGAGACAATTAGCTCTTATATGAAGTTTGGCTGTAATGAGAGGAGAGAGAAGCAGTTGTAGCTAGAAGGGAATATGAGGTGGAAGAAATTTAAAAGACAGACATGTTTGAATGGGAACTGGAAAACTCCAGAGAGACAGAGGTTTAGTATTCAGAAGACAGAGGAGAAAATTCATTCAATCAGGCCCTTGCAAAGGTGGATGGTAATGAGATACAGAACACCCTCAGAGAGACATGCCCTTTAACAGAACAGGAGGACAGGAGGAGGTGGTAACGAATGCAGGTGGATTTGTAGATTTGGAGGAGGAACTTACTCACCCCCAATTCTATAATGCAACTCATGAGCCAAGAGTGAATGGATAGGCTGCAATAATGTGATGTCAGAGAGCCGTGATCAATGAGGAAGCCAGGGAGCACTCTTAGGAGCAATGATAGGCATTAGTGAAAGATACTGAAATACACATAACCATGCAACTTATATTATACCTTCCTTCTCATATGATCTTCAAAATGAGAAGGGTAGAAAAATTAGTTAAGAGGGAACTGGGACTCTAAATGAAGAAAACATAGCAAGGAAGAAGTCAGTCACTTCAAAAGTCCAACCATTTAGGCTCTGTGTGCCAAGTTAGCTTCAAGACACAACTGAAGAATCATTCTTAATATTAAAAGTCATGCATATTGTAAGTGGCACAATAAAACTGGAAATGATTTGTTTTTAAAAAGCAGTGAAAAAAGAGTTCAAGAAGATATCATTGAGTCAAATTGACTGTGAATCTGTAGTTTGTTAATTTGTGATCATTAGGACACACCAAATGCTCATCACGAAGTATTTATGCCAAAATATTATATCTTTGTAGAGTCACTATCTCATGATTTCAAGGTACATACAATGATTGATAGATTAAATAAATACTGTTTACAGAAATAACAGTTTCAGAGGGCATGAATCACAGGCCAGCTGTATGGAGAACTGCACACTTCAAAGAAACATACAGAGCACACACAGAATGGTTGCCAGTAGGTTCCCAATGAGAACCAAAAGGGATAACTTAAAAAAAGAGGCTTTAGGTGAACAACAAAGATATCCTCAAATACTCTAAGGCCTGGTATGTCTAGTCACTTTTTTTTCTGGAGTGGTCCAGAGAGTAGAGCTAGAAGCAGGGGTAGAAGGTTCCAGGAAAGTAGATTGTTGCCTCTTGATAGAGAATATATAACACACCTGGATATGGCCAAAAATGGAGAGCATAAACTATCAGTCTTGGGTTGTAGAATACTCTACCAGGGCTTCTGCTACAGCAGGGTAGGGATGTGTAATTCTATACACTATATAACACTTGGATCTGTTCCATGAAAATAAATGTGAGTGATAACTCATCAGCACACATGTGCTAGAGGTATAAGTGCTGTTGCCTACAGATGTCCATGATCTGCCCAAAGCAACCTAGTGGGCCATTGACTGAGCTGGGGATGGACTCGACTCTCCTCTCCCAAGGCTCAACTGTTTCTATTATTCCACACCATTCTATTTTCACCGTTTCTGTTCCCTTGCCTGCGGTAGCAGATCAGCCTTCTTCCTTGGAACTTCAATTAGGAGTTTTAAGTCCCTCATTCATGACTCTCAGGACATACTCTTCATGAATGCCCAATGGTCTACATGGTCTGAATGAAATTCACAGCATTGGCCTTGAAACCTGGGGGTCCTGAACAGCTGAGTCTGGCTCACACTGATAAGCTTTCTCAAGTCCCTTGGGAGCTTGTTTCCAGGGAGTCTTAATGTGTACTTCCTGGAGGAAAAGGAGAAATGTTCACAGGAGGAAAGGATCCTAAAACCACCATGTCTTACCTGGTCCATGGTATCTTCTGTATTCGTCTCAGTTGTACATGACCAGGTTCATCCACTAAGAAATAAGTATCATCAATGCAACCAATTCTTTAATCTTGTTCACTTATGCAGAGCAAGGCAAAGGCTACCCTCCTCCCTTGGAAAATCATCACTCCTTTCCAGTTAATTTTTCCTAAGCAGGAGGTCTCAACACCCCTGTCACAAAACATCTTCCACTATTCCCTAAATAGCCAGGCAGTGAGAGGTATATCTGAGGTCGACCAGCTAGCTGCTGGAGTGGCTCTCCAATTCAGTGGGAGCAAGTTTAATGTACAGTGAGTTCAGCAGGCTGTTCTTCAGTTCCCTCTTGGATTTATGACTCCTACATAATCCTCTGGTTTATTAAGCTATTGGAAAAAAATAAAATTGGTCTGCCAAGATCCTAAAGCAGCCTGGCAGCCAGCAATATATAAAGGCAGTAATTGGAAGCAGGGGGGCAGCAACTTGGCTGGCTTTTGATATATTCTCAGGCAAAAAAATGCCCCCGAAATCAGATCACGAGAGGTGGCCTGAGACTGTGCCTGGTCCTGAGACAGGAAGGTGTCTCACCTCCATTTCTGTCAGGTAGAGTCCTTTTCCATCCTTGGAGAGGTTGCGGAATGTCTCTAGAATAAAGAAAGAAAGGTTTTGACTGACAGAGGAAGAGGAGAGCAAAATAAGTCAGGGCCCATGTGAAGACAGAAGCCAGTGTGGTGGCTCTGTACAAAGCAGTCTTCACTGTCCATAGAGTGGCCTGTCCTCCATCCTTTTCTTTCCAGTCAAGGTCTATACCATGGGGTGGCTCAGAGCTCATCTCCATGAAACAGCTCCATGACTGCTCTGGCCTCTCTCCTTCCAGATTACCTGCACCTTGCCTCTCTTCACACTCAGTCTATGTAGATGGGAAGGCTTGTCTTTCTTTCATGGACACAGTTTGGAGACCTTCCTAGTCTACCTGGGAACTTCCTGGGGGCAAAGGTTATGACTTGGGATTCTCTTTTACCCTCCCAGGGCTCTATTTCCTCCTTTATTAATTGCCCCACTCAGAACCCCAAGTGTACAGAGGTCTCATGACAACATTCAGGTCAGAGGTGTTTTTGGCACCCACTCTATCTCATCCTCAACAGCTCCATTTTGAGCAACTCTGTGGCCTGGGGTTTCAGATAAGATTTCATTTAAAACAAAGTCTGTGCTGCTAAAAAGTGGCAAATACTCTGGCCCCGTCACTGGATTTCTAAAGCTTGAGGACAGACCTCCTGCCCCCACCCGTTCTCTTGTGTATGAAAGTCCTTCAGCAGAGACAGTTCTTCACGCCTGACTGCAGAGTAGGTTTCAGTGATAAGCACAGCCTGGAGAGGAGATGGGGTGATTGAAATTAACCTTGTTTCTTAGAGGGAAGCTGAACAGGGTGAGGAGGAAATAAGAGACCTGGGATAGAGGAATACTGGGGGAACAGGGTGCGGAAGGCAGACTGGGGACAGGGCCAATCACACTATTTTACAGGCTCACTTAACCCTGTCCTCTCAGAGCAAGGGTGCCTTAAGCAAGACACCAGCCTACACACTCCTGAGGCCTTGCCCAGGCCTGGGGCAACTGTGTCACTGTGAAGGTCCTCAGGATGTCTTTCAGGGACACTTACTTGCCATGGCTTCCAGGCGCATCAGGAAACAGACCAGACTGGGGAAGCTGACCCTGCCGGTGCTGTCACTGTACCGGAGGGTCATGAGATTCAGCAGCTCACGGCTGACGAAGATCCCTGTAAGGAAGTCTGGGGCCACAGGGCAAGGTGGTAAGCAGGGAGGTGGCTCTTTGTTTCAGGAGACTTGAGAAACCTGTTCAGAGGGTGCTATAGCCTTCTACCACCTCTCCTACTCAGCCTGACTTGGCAACCAGTTCACCTCACTCAGGGTCCAATGCCCCCATTTTCTTTTGCTTATTGGCTACTAGGCTCCCCAGTGGCATAGCTCTCCAGGTTCCGGACACCAACTCAAGGGATTTGAGACACTGTTCTTCTGTCAGATTCAGTTCTAGGTTGGCTGTTCAGGGAAAAAGTCTCCTCAGATGGGGAAAGCAGAACCCAGAAGGTGGCCTCAGCAGGGAAGGAGATAGGCACCTTGCCCTCTTTGGCTTTGTCATCTTTCATGCCTAGTTATAAGCTCCAGGGAGCCACACAGGGTACAAAGGCAGACTGGCCAGAAGTCTGGCTTTCAAGCTCTGTTGAGCAAGCAGAACCTTGCAAGCTGGGCCATCCATACAAGGAATGAGCCTGGTGGCCTATGGGCTCTCATGTGACCAGAGACACATTTGGTTTCTGCAGCAGAATTAATAAAATATGAATCAAGATGCCTTCAGATAGGGCATGTACTCTTCCAGCCTGCCACTTCTCAAGTCACTTATTTTCTTATGGTTAACTCCCTTGTCCTTTTAAGTTACCTGCCTGGACCCTGGAGGCCTTTGAGTTGAATTGAACTATTCTCTATTTCACTCCCTTTCGTTATTCTGCAGTCATAAGTGAAGGCTTCTTTAGTGATTCCATCTTTAACTTGTTCTTCAGTGGTTCTCAAGGGGTGATCCCAGACCAGGGGCAGGAGCATCACAGTGGAACTTGTCAGAAATGCAAATACCCCTGCCTCCAGGCTTCCTGAATCCCTAACTGAGGGGAGGCTCAACCTTCTGTGTTTTCACAGGCTCTGCAGTCAGCTCAGATGGAGCTCAGGTTAAAGTGTCACAGCTCTGTGCTATGAAGAATTAAGGAAAGGAGCCATGCTCAAGTCGGGCACAGTTTTGTATTTCTACCCCTCTTCATGCCAGTTGCCATGGGAGGGAGATTTATGGATCCTCTCCTTCCGAGTTAACCTGAGGGAACATGATTTTACAGTTTATTAAGGAAGGTGGCCATTTTCTTATGTAACCTTTTGGTGATTCATTTTCCTCATTGCTACTGTGGAGGTAATGATTCCTGCCCTTCCCAGTTGGCTGGGTAGTCAAGACAATCAAGTGAGATGATGTGAATAAAAGTTCTTGGTGAACTATGAAGCAGCTATGCACCTTCCGGGGTTGTTATCATTATCCCAGCACTGAAAGCTTTTGCCTACTTGAAGCCAACAGATGCCATTTGGTTTAATTTAGCCCCAAACTCTCTGTGAAGAAAAAGAAGTGAGATTATTAGCCTGCCCCTGGGTATTTAACCCAGACAGTGAGGTGGAGGCTTCTGGAAGACAAGCTCCATTCCTGGTACGGTATCAATCATATAAGGCTACTTTCTCACAATTAGAGCCACACTGGGGAGAAAAGGCAGCTGGGAAAATTGAGTGGTCCAGGAGAGCTCAGATGGGGGGTGAGTCCCAAGCCCTAGAGGGCCACGAAGGTCAGTGTAGACAGGGGAGGATGTGGGAACTATAGCTATCCTCTCTCCTGACTGCTCAGCCTTGCTATGCAAGCTTTGCCTACAGCATGCTGGGAGTGTGGGTACCACAGCCACCACAGAGCCTCCAGTCTTCTCTGTTCGGGTCCCCCAACATTACCTGTATTCTGTATGGCCTTCCACAAATCTGAGCTCAGAACTCCAGAGCTCTTGTGAATGTCCTGGAAAACATGCTGGTGTGGAAAAAGAAGCAAGGAGACAGTGAGAGGATGTGGATTGGGGAGGCCCTGGAAATCCCTTTTCCATCCCTGGACGTAGACTCATTAATGCTTGGGTGGAGCAGGCTCAGAAGTGGGCAGGGCAGCAGAGGGGAAGACAGAGCAGGCAGGAGGAGCTACACCTGTTAGGTTGACCAGACTGGCCACAGCCGAGGGCCATGGGCTCCCCTCTCTTTTGTACGTCTAGATAGGGCCCTGTACAGGGTAGTTTGGGAAGTGAGGGATGCACAGGATTCTCTAAAGAGTTTGCATGTGTAGTGGTTAAGAGCACAGACTTGACAGTGAAATTGCCTGATTTTAAGTCCCAATCCAAGTTGCTTCATCTTTCTAGGCCTCTGTTTCCTGATCTGTAGCACAGGGCTAATTACGGTAGCTACCTCATGGGTTTGTTGCAAGGAATCAATAAGCACATATACAAGTGAGTGCATATGCTCATATACTAACACAATCACTTATAAATTAGAGAGTGCTGTGTAGAAAATATTGAAAGCACATTAGAACTGAGTCCTGGGTCAAGCATAGTTGCAGAACATACTAACCATAACACCTCATTGCATTTACCTGAGGCTTTTCCACTCAGCCTAATCCTGGTCATTATCATACTTCCCAGATGAGGACACTGACACTCAGGCAGGTTAAGACTGGACCTTGAGTGAAGTGCGCAGCTGCACAGGACTGACCACAGCACACCCAACTGTAGTGTGTGCACAGCTGCCCCAAAGGAGATTTTCTAAGGCAAAATAACCCACTAGCAGGTGTGTGAGGCCAACTGTGGGAAGCAATGGTTGAGCAGTTACCTCTTGGGAGCCTGTCCTTGGCCTTAGTTGGCTTTGGGTGGGTGTAAAAACAGAACTCGAGTATTCCGCATGAGGTTTTCTCCATTCATTTAGTAACTGATTAGTCTGGTCATTTTTCAACAATATTGAATGCTCTGTGTTATACACACTGTAGAGGCTCTGGTGAAAGATGAATTTGAGGGAGTCCCTGCCTTGGAGGATCCTGCAATCTAAAGAGGAAGTGGACATGACAACCACTACAGTGCCCTGGGAGAAACCAAATGATCCTGGTTAAGGGATTAGGTGACCACTGGCATAGCCACATAGCAGCACTTTATTCAGCGTTTTAAAATGTTCCAACCCAGGCATGGTAGTTCATGCCTACTAGTCTAAGCTACTTGGGAGACAGAGACTGGGAGGATCATGGTTTGAGGCCAAAAAAATTTTTTTTGTGAGACCCCCATCTCAACCAATAAAAGGTGGGCATGGTGGCATGTGCCTGTCATCCCAGATACTGGGGAAACATAGATAGGAGGATTACAGTCCAGGCCAACCTGGGCATAAAGGCAAGACCCTATGCAAAAAATACCTAAAACAAAAAGAGCTGTGGCTATGGTTCAAATGGTAGAGCACCTGCCTGGCAGGCACAGGATGTGAGTTCAAATCCCAGTACTGCTAAAAAAAATGTTCTAGAGATATTTAGTGACATTATCCAGTTGACATATTGATGCCTTTTATCTTTTAAAAGCAGATTTTTATTTATGTGTATGTACACATATTATAGGATGAATTCTGAAAAATATTCATTAGGTTTTAATACTTTCTCTTTGTTTGGCAAGATATTTTCTTTTTGCTCATCAATATTTTCTACTATGAACATGCATCGCTTTTATAACAAGGGAAGGTTTTTTAAAGAACAACTTAATAAGGCAGTATAGCATGGCTTACCCTGACAGATGTGGGCCCCAGTGTGATGAGCCAGATGGGACACTAATCAGGTCATGGGGGCTGACAAAGGCAACTCATGGGCAAGGAAAGTATGTCTGAGGATAAATTCTTAGGGTAGGTGAGCACTGGCCAAGCTTAAGGTGCAGGGAAGGGAGATGGAAAGGACAGGCCAGAGGCACAGGGCATGGCAATTACAAGGAATAGCGAGAAGTTTTATAATTGGGGTCAGAGAAAGTGGGATGAGTAAGAAGTGCTTCCCCTGAACCCAAAAGTAGGAACCCAATTTAGAGGGTCTATGTGCCACTCTGATGAGTTTAGACTTTGTCCTGAGGACAACAGGAGGTCACACGCAGGCCATAGACCAACCATATCTGTGATTCCACAGGTCCTCTGGCAGAGGCACTAGAAGAGAATGAAATGGGTTTATAGATTGAGGGAGACTGAAGTGAATCTGGGAAGAAATGAGGGAACACTAATGGCTGGAGGTTCTAGCTATGGTACACAGTGACTTTTTTCTCCTCCAACCTCTTAAGAGTGCCTCAGGCAGTGTCTAGGCCTTCTCTTATTGCATGTACCTCTCCCCAAACAAAATGCGAGCATTCTTGGGGGGCAGGGGCAGGGTTTCCTCTCCTTTCATATCCCTCAACTTAGGCATGGGGTTGGGCACCCAGTAAATATTTGCTAAACTGGACAAAATAAGAGGATTAGTCATAGAGAGCATGCTGGTACCTGGCAGCAGACAAGCCGACTCCACAGTCTCCCAAACTCCTCCTGGTCGAGCCGCCCATTCACTTTCAGCTGGACAAGTAGTTAAGAATGAACCAGTCCAGGGTGCAATAGCAGCGGGGCTGCTTTCCCTGCCAACAAAGCCAGAGTAGCTCCATCCTTCAGCCAGTGACTCAGTCAATGTGATGCCACCTAGAAGTGGCCCTATGTTAGCTGGTACCTACTCTGGCTGAAGGCAACCTTGATTAGATTTGTTTATATAAAGGAAAACAGACTATTGGAAGAAGGAAGCCCTAAGAAAGAGAAGCCAATTTCACTTGCATCCTAGGGAAGACAGTGAGTCCAGACATGGTCTTCATAATTGGGGTGGATTCCCTGACAGGGGTAGGTGGGGGAGGAGCATGAAGGGGTCTTACAACTCCAGAAACACAGGGAGAAGTGAGTGTGCCATCCTGGTGCCATGTATGGAGGGAACATACTTGTATTAATGCAGCTCTCACCACCCTGTAGGATGGGCTATTGGTCACTAATGAAGGGAAAAGAATCAACCTCTCTGAGAACTGGAATGGAAGCCATGGGAGAGGAGAAAAGATAAAGATCTGTCTGCTAAGCAGGGGTCCTGCCAATGGGACCTCCCCTTGGGGCCATAGGGCTGCCAGGGCCATTTGGTTCCTCTGTGTCTCTGAGTAACTGCAGACCAAAGCCAGCAGAGACAGGACCTGATTTATGATTTCATCAAGAAGCCCTCGTGTTCTACAATGGCCAGTTTCGCATTCACAATCGAGTCTTGTTAACGGTGTAAGAGCTGGGTAATCTGTCTCTTAGGGAGACAGCACACAGCCAGGGAGACAAGTTGCCAGGCTAGGATCCACACAAGTATGTCTCTCCTGTCTGCAGGGAGGCAGGGTGGATAGGAGGAGAAAGGGCTCCTTGGAGAGCAGAAGTCAGGATGAGAGTCAGGAGACTGGGGTTTGATTCTTAGTCCTGCCATTTGTAGCCATGGAACTGAGTGAGCCATGAATGGCAAACACAGCATGTTAGCAGCTATGGGTGCTGCTGCTGTGTACACTAAGGAGGTTGATGCATGTTTATATAGTTGTTATTTTTGCTGATTGGGTGATTGATACCTATGGAACCAAAGTAGTGAAGATTTCTCTAGTGGTAAGAAAAGGGGTAAGGGAGAGAGATCCCAAAGGAGGAATAAATATAGATATTTACCAGTGCAATACCCAGCACACAGTAGGTGCTTGATTGATGGTAACTATTCCCATTGCTTGTTTGGTTGATCTAGAGAGGTATTGAGTTGATAGGACCCAAGCCCTTTGGTGAGTCCTAATTAGATCCTTGGGAAGCCCACAGAGCAGGTGGGCTTCCAGCGTGCAAAGGATACGTCCATCAGAGCTATGATGCTGCGGCACTGGTCCAAGCAGAAAGTGTCCCCTGGAAGTTCTGAGGAAGGAGAACAGAAAGGACTGAAGTGCCAGTGGAAGCGAGGACTGGGGGCCTGGGGTTGAGGCCAGCAGGCCTTCAGGATGACGATACCTGTCAGGAGCTCCTGGTTGAGAAGACTCTGAAGCTGGGTGGCATCAATGTCCTGCCCCTGGTCCAAACAAGAGAGAAACATGGGCATTAATCTGGGCCCAGGACATGAAATGCACATCTATGCAACTCTGTAACATCTCTCCAACTTCTATGCTCTTCCTTCCCATGGTGTGCTTGTCCAGCCTTTGTCCTGAGCCTGACCTGGTGCTCCAGCCATGGCGGTAACTCCCTTCCTGCGCATTTGTGGTGCTAGTCACTCCTGACATTCACAATCTGTCTGCGCTCCCTGGCATTGTTCTCTCCATTCTTTATAGAACTGAAAGCAGGCTTCTTCCTCCTCAACCCACCTCAATGCCTGACACTGGTGAACCCCTCAGGATAACAATATTGGATAAATCAATGCTTTAGGTGTCTTCCCCATCTGCTTCCAGAAAGAGACTACAAGAAAATATGACTGTACGTACGCATATGTGTGGACACATGTGTGATAATAGGAGTTAAAAATAATCTGAAATCTAGGCTAAGAGAAGCTGTTACAATTGAGCCACTGAAGCAGAAAGGGAGGTGTCCTGACTTTCCTTAGATTAAAAGTGGGAAGCAATGGAGGTTTCAGGGAAAGAGGAAATTTTCTGGGCCTAACATTTGGAGGAGTTAACTGCACTGGACTTTCACTGGGGCGCTGTCGGACAGTGTGCTTGATGGAAGCTTTAAATCTACTTTAGGGAAGCTTTTACTTGGGAAGTTGGCACTAGAGTGAGGTTTCTCAGCTGGTAGCTTTGTAGAGTGACACAGAGTCAGGTGGTAAAAGATGCCTCCTGGGGGTCTTCTAAGAACCAGTACATCACAGATAATAGGCACACTGTCTCTTCCATCTCTCAGGGTTGGCCTCATCACCCAGCACTGAAAGCAACAGCAGCCCCATAGCCTGCTTCATGGGGTCCTTCAGTGAGAAGCATGTGCCCTCAGGATGACCCCAAGAAAACATTTTGCCAGTGGCTGAAATTGGTCTTCAGGTCACCCCTCCAATATCTCATCGTTTGGGCATGTCAGGGAAGTTGCTATTGTGTGCCCAATATGAACTAAATTTCTCCTCCAGAGAATCTGAACACCTCACTGTAAACAGCAGTTGACGTGCTAATGAGGATTCCTGACAAACATGGAATCACCTGAAGAGTACAAAGCAGCATTGCCATGGACCATGTCTACTTCCTTCTCCCCACCTAAGACACAGTTTGACCTGGACCCCACACTCTGTAACCCACCAAAAGCATTTGAAGAAATGAAGGCAGAAATGGAAATAATGGTGGCTTAAAAGAATTGTGCATTTGCCTCTATCTCCCCCATGTGAGACTCCCAAAGACTGATGCTTTGATATTCCCAAAGCTTTGTGCAGTACTTGAAATATCAACCAAATAAATGATGGATGGTGAATGGATCTGTACCATTTCAGACCCCAAGTGCATCCTTCCTTTCTCACAGGCAAACTCTTGGTTATAGTACTGTCACCATTGCTATGGCTAAAGAAACTAGCAGTATCAATAGTAATAAACTGCTACATTAGTTTAAAGCTAGTTAAATCCATATAAGAGATCAGGAAGAAGACACAGCAAATGCATGAGGGAATATTTTGCTTTAAAATGTCATGGGAGAACACAGCCTCTGAGGATATTTTCAGACTGTGCAGGGTGATAGTTCAAGGGTGCCTGGCTGAGAAATGACCTTGGCACAATGCCGTGTCTAATTTAATTCCCACCAAAGTCCAATATGAGCCGCTAGGAGGAGGCATTTGGCTGTTGTTTGGAAAAGTCCTGATTAGGGAATCAGTACCATCTTACCATATGACAATTTATATTTTTATTTTGTTTAATTTTTATTTCATGCAGGTGCATGGAACCTGCATGAGAATTTGACACCTTCCCTGAAGATGCTTGGTCTCAGTCATCCTAATTGGGTGCTGCTGACCACCTCAGGGCAGCTATCCTGAGTGTAGGCGTAGGTTCTCGGGAGGATAATCTATCTTAATTCAATTTGACAGAAATGACTGAGCATCTCGTCTGGGTGCCATTCCTGCATTTGAGTGCTCACAGATTGGGGACAATCTTCTGTGTCAGTCTTGTCATGCACCAAGTGAAGTGTCCTTAGAATCAGCTCAGGGGTGGTCTGAATTCTCAGCACTGATTCCAGGGAGGTCCACAGTCCATCACTTTTTGCAGCAGGTACCCCTCATTCCTGACACACTCTTTCCCTCAGGCCCAGCCTGCCTCCAGGATATCATTACCCTACTTGCCCTCTGCATGTTGGGGAGGACCTGGCATTCCTCCTGTCCTTGGCCTCTGCCTGCCCCAAGCCAGCACAGCACACATGATCATCATATCACTTTCTGCTCCCCATACTAACATGGTCATTAATGGTTAAAGGCCCATCACACAGAGCCCTTGGCAGATATTTTATCCTGATGACTCAAAGAGTTCTTTGTAACAGTTTGTTAAACCATTACGAAAATCCCAAGTGCACATAGGTGGCTTGGCAAGCATTTTGGTGCTTCCTGAAGCTAGCCAGCTCCTGGTAGGAAAGGCAGTTAAGCCAGAGAAGGAAAGATTTCAAGAGGTAATGCTAACCAACTGCTTGCTTACAGGTATAAATGGCAATACACCCCCCCTAATACACACATCTTATAATTATCCCCTCCATTTCCAAGTTCTGAGTTCCAATGTGTCACCCGGATGGGGGGGTACCACTTCTTTTCAGAGCTTGGCAGCAAGAGCAGTTCTGGAGATGGTCCAGGGAAAGCACGAGGCTGATAGGATGACCCATCAAGTCCCTTTTCCTCTCTGCATTCTCATAGGGGCTTGGAGATCCCCCTCCCTGAGGACTCTGTATCACCTGCCCTATGTTAGGACCCTTGGTGTTGGCTACTTTACCTGCTGAGCGTATCTGTAGAAAATGCTTTGCTGGGAGCCACTTTCTAAAGGACTTCCCTAGAACAAAGGGAAAATAACCAATGTAAAATTTCTGGGGAAGAGGTCACCTGTTTGGTACAGTGAGGGCATGACAAGCCTCACCTAAATCTGAAGAAATTGGCAGTTGGAAAAAATTGAAGGGGGGATTAGAAAACCAAAGTTTGTGGAAGAAAGATGGTTGGGATTCAGCCTAGCCTTGGAGGCCTGGTTTTCTCCTCCCACTCTGCCATCCTCCCCTTTGAGCCACTATTGACCCATTGTGGGATCTCTGTTTTTATTGGTCAGTTGTGAGGTGAGGCAGGACATAAAAGCTACAGTGGAAAGGATATGGCTTTTCAATCAGGAAAGCTTTTCAATCAAATCTTCAGGCACACCTACCTTCAGTGCTCTGAGGTTATAATTGCTGTTTGGATTCCTAGAAAATGACAGAAACAGTGTGACAAGGATGGCTAGCCCCCATCTCACAGGAGGTGAGGGCACCCAACAGCATCTGATAGTTCTGTCATGGGTGAGTGGAAAGCCCTCAGCACCACAGGACATGAAGGGGGCAGCCACAGAGTAGCAGACAGATGAGTATGATGACCACATGTCCAGCCTTTTGGGTGGACATGGTCTGGTCTTCTAACTATTGTCTTTCACAACCAGAAACATATGTATAGTATTGCCACGATGACAATTAGCTTTGTCCCATGTTCCATCTTGAATTGGTGGTAATGGCTACCTGCCAGATGGACTGAGAAAGCCTCCCTCACATTCACTGCAAAGACCACATGACTATAACAATGTCTGCCCCAAGCCCAGAGTGGGTAGTGCTTGTTCATCCTGGTCTTAACCCACTGACTTGGCATTCAAGACTCTCAAGACCATTTTTGTCTCCCCTCTTTGTCACCCCATATTCCAGCCACATTTCAGATAAGTGGACTCACATGCTATAGACCGCCTTCCTGTACATATTGCCAATGCCACTTAATCTCCAACAAGCCCTGTGTTCACCCACATCCCTGCTCCTGCTCAGGTTCTTTTCTTCCACTTGCATGGCCTTCCCCTTTAAGCCATCCAATTCTGTATTCCTTTGAGAACCAGCTTGAGTGCCATTTTCTCCAAGAAGCCTTTCCCAGTCTCTCTGGCCAAAAGTGTTCCCTCCACTCTGTTCTCCCACACAACTTTGCATCTAGCAAGGGCCACATGCTGTTGGGGTCTTAGTTATTGGTTCATAGATTTTCTTGTCCCCCTGGACAAGCAGGAACTGCATTGTGTCCCCACCAAAACAATACACACTGTATATAATGCACAGAGTACCAAGCATAATAACAGAATGCATTTTTATAACATTAAGTAGAATAAAACACTTAGGATCCCATAGGTTCTGTACCTGTTACTGTCTGGTATTTTCAGGAAGATTCGAAGCAAGAACTTGACTTTTTCTCTTTTTGCCCAGGGGACCACAACATAGGTCCCAGGGCTTAAATGGTAGGACTTTGTGAAGTTGCACCCTATGGATTTGTCACCTGTGCCCTCAGCAGCAATTCTGAATTTGGAGAAGAATGTAGATGGCAATTTCTCCTGGAACTGTTGGAACTAGAAGAGACATGATTTTTATGAGAAAGCCCCTATCCCACGCTTGGACCTCAGCCACCAGGACGGACCACTGCCTTCCAGAACCCTCTCTGCTCATCAGAAACTGAATTGCTGGCTCTGCAAAGGGAGACAGTGCTAACTTGAACCCTCAAAAACCCAGTAGAGTTCAGACTATTTCGTCTAGATTCTAGACACTACAGTAAACGCAAAAAAAAAAAAATGACTCACAATTTTATCTCATTACATCTAATAGCATCCTGTATTTCTGGCTTTTTCTTTCTGCTTATATGTAGAGAAATAGTGACATGGAAAACTAGTGACATTGTTGTTCCAGTGTCTGCTTTCCTTCCTTCCTTCCTTCTTCCCTCCCTCCCTCTCTCTCTCCCTCCCTTCCTTCCTTCCTTCCTTCCTTTCTTTTCTTGGCTTGAGCCATGACTCCCAGCCCTTTATGCTCTGCTTTTGCCCTGGCTGGCCTGGATCACAGTCCTCACTGTAGCTGGAGTGACAGGTATATGCTACCATGCCCAGCTTTTGAACTTTTTGCTTGGACTGGCCTGGAACTGCAATCCTCCTTCCTAATCTCAGCCTCCCAAGCAGTTAGGATTACAGGTGCAAACTACCAGCACCTGACCCAATGCTTAATTTCTTTATGGGCCTCCTAAATCCCTTTCTCTCCTAAACCGTTAGTGACATACTCTGGGCTGCTATAGCACTACACAGTTGAATTCTCTTCACTTCCTCTGTTTCCCCTCTCCAGCAGAGCCCCAAGATTCCTTCTCATTGGAAAATAATAGGCCCTGATCATTTTCCTTTTATTTCAATATTTTCTTAGAGATAAAACAATAAATATAATGCATTCCCTATTATAGGATGTCACATACATATTACATAATAAAACCCCTTACTAAACAAATTTTCCCCACTATAGCCAAGCATGGGGATTTCACTTAGAATAGTTACGCAGCATGAAATGATTATTTATGAGCGGTGCAGTGGAGGAAGAACAGGGAGAGGGGGAAATTTTCTTTTTAGAGGGCTCCAAGGTGAGGCAGGAGATAAGTCACTGCCCCAGGGTTACAGCACAGGGCTGGTGGAACTTCCTGAGCAACTCCCATGGATTTGAGGTCCTGGCTATATTGAGCCTTTCCATCATAAGTAGTGCTGGACCAGTTCTTCTCCAAAGGGCCAGCCACGCCCTTTGGCTCTGGGTATGTGTGGACAGTATGCCTCCTACAATCCAGAAGGTGAGGACAGCCTTGCCTACTTGCTGTCTTGACCTCCCCACTCCATGCACCTCTGCAGCCCTGCTCAGGCTCCCAATCCTTCGGAACAGACTTGCTCAGTGGCAGGCAGATGTGCAAGTGCGGAGTGACAGGAGATCTTGACTCAGTGCTCAGAGGAGCCCGCTACATGTTGATGCAGGACCAGACAGGTGCAGAGCAGACTCTTATACTCTAGGGATGGGGCTTGTGCTTTTCCTGGATTAAGTCCCTAGCTTGGTCTAGCTCTGGGAACTGAAATGCAGACCTGTTTCTTGCACCTGAGTGCTTCCCTCAAAACCCTTCTGGATGTTCCCCTTCCACAGCCAGGGTGCCAGGGTGCCAGGGACCAGAGGCAGATCCTAACCTCCAGCTCTGTGGCTGGACTGATGCTGTGAGCCAGGTCTCCTTGCTGCCAACTTTCTGCCTGGGTTTCCAAGTATCCTCTGCTCTGAGACTCCTTACTCTGGCCTCTGTCTATCTAAAGGGCTCCTTTGGAAGGTCTAGAGGGGCCACAGTCACCATCTGTTGGCCACTGCCACATCTTGTTCCTTTTTCCATCCATTGTGCCTCCCTCTTGGCAAAAAGGTCATTGCCAAGCTCTCAGCTATGGGAGAATCTGAGTGCCTATGAGGGCAGGTCTTCAGAACTCTTTCTTTCTCCATCCTTTCTCATAGTTAAGTCACCTTTCACAATACTGGGCCAGGTTATCTGATTAGAAGGGCGGAAATCTATTTGTTAGAGAAGCTAGACAGTGTGCCTTGATATTGCATGTAAACAGCATGCTTGGCTTGTGGTGGATTTAGGGGGTGAACAAATCCAGGAAGCTGATGGTCTTCCCCAGATGCCCCTTAGTGCTGCTCTTGACTTCAACACACAGGAACTAGCTGCATCAGTCTTCTCTGTCAGGGCCAAACACTTGGAGACAGTTTTACATTCCTACCCCTCTTGAATGTTAAACAAGAGAATCTCCAAGGGTCCAACCTGCAGCTAAATATTTTCTTGCTTTGTTGAGCTGTTTGGAGTTTCTAAGCTTGTATCTGATACAAGATGTAGCAAGACCGAATCTGCAGCCTGGAGCTGGAAGTCTGGTGTTAGAAAAGGCATAACACTTATCAAGGGTCAGCACCAGAGGTGTGAGGACAGTGGTGAGCCATACCTGAGAGTCCACCTGTGGAAGAAAGGAAGAAAGGTGGTTCAGGACATTAGAACACAACAGAAAGGTAAGCAGGTCTCCCAGCTTGGCTCAGGGGCCCAGACTCCTTCTTGTGTGGTCACTCTGTTTCCTGGCACATGGGGAAGACATATGGTTACTCATCCCCTGTGGTTTTTTGTTTTGTTTAGTTTAGTTTTGTTTTTTAAAAAGGAACCCTACTAAGGTGTGGGAAGTAGCAAGAGAGGTGCGGTTACTTACTGTTCAATAGCAATGATGGAAACTCTAGAAGGAAAGGGCTGGAAATAAGACAGAACCTAGGTCAAGTGTAAATTCCCCAAGGTCAATTAAAAATTCCCTAGTGTTGGGAGCTTCAGTGAGAAGGCAATGTCTTTGATTCTTTCAGACCACTATTTCCTTTAAATTTCCTTTGTAGGAAATTTGTTCTGGGGCAACCAGTGCTTGTAGAGATATACATGTGCATATGAATGGGGAAATAGCTGGGCTCTTCTCTACCATCTGGTGGGAGGAAGCACTGAGGATGCAGTTTCATCTTTAAAGCCCTCTATAGTTTGCAAAGGATATTCATCATAATCCTGCAAGCAGACCCTGGGCATCCTATTTTATGTATAGAAATGGAGGCTCTTTAGGTAACAGAGCTGGGAATAGTGCAAGCTGTGTTGCATCTTTTATAATGAAGCCCTACCACTGCCAGACATGGTCTTTCCTAGGTGGTATGAATTTTGATTCTTGTCCTCTGTGAGCCTGAGCCTCACACATATGGACAGACCACTTGATTTGCCCAGACAGACTTCTCAGTCAGGGGAAAGTTGGGAGGGAGGTAAAAAATCCCAGCCTGGGGGAGGAGCATTGGTGGGAGGGGCTTTGGTGTGAGGATGAAATTTCTTTTATTTTTTTTTTAATTCATATGTACATACAATGTTTGGGTCATTTCTACCCCCTTCCCCCCGCCCCCTCCCTTAACCACCCCACCCCCTCCCTCTTCCCCCTTACTCCCTAGCTTCCAGGCAGAAACTATTTTGCTCTTATACTCTCTCTTCAACAAAATTAGAGATAAGCAATAATAGGAAGGACCAAAGGTTTTTGCTAGTTGAGATAAGGATAGCTATACAGGGAGTTGACTCCCATTGCTGTCCTGTACATGTGTGTTACCTTCTAAATTAATTCTTTTCAAACTAACCTTTTATCTAGTTCCTGGTCCCCTTCTCCTATTGGCCTCTGTCGCTTTAAAGTATCTACAATAGTTTCTCTGTGTTGAGGGCAACAAATGCTATCTATTTTTTTGGGTGTCTTACCTATCCTCATACCTTCCTTGTGTGCTCTCGCTTTATCATGTGATCAAAGTCCAATCCCATTGTTGTGTTTGTCCTTGATCTAATGTCCGCATATGAGGGAGAACATATGATTTTTGGTCTTTTGGGCCAGGCTAACCTCACTCAGAATAATGTTCTCCAGTTCCAGGATGAAATTTCTTGTCCACTCTTATCCCTCTTCACTGTTCTGACTTCTCCCTGCCTGTTCACACACCAGTGGTATCCACTTAATGTAAGGCAGAGCAGTGCTCCCACAGCAGATGTGGAGTCATAGCCTGCAGGAACTCCTGAGTCATAGCCATGGGCCTGGAGTCCTGTTTCAGCTGGGTCAGCACTGTACCTACTGAGCACTGGGGACTGCTAAGAGCCTAGTTACTGGCACAGATATTGCCTGCTTCTCAGTCAAACTGCAAAAGGCACCCAAGTGTCTTTTGAGATGTCAAGGTCTAGATTGTTCTTTGGTGTTTAACTCACTCAGGGTCCTGAAAGACCCACTGCAATCTCCAGAGACCCTGAGTAGATCTTAGATCTGAGTGCTTCTTTGATAAGCAGACAGCTGACAAATAATGCATTTCTGGTGAAAAGGAGAAAAGTGAGCTTTGTAATATTTTTAAGATGGGTTTGATTACAATCTTGCTAGGGATCCTGAACTGTAAAATCTTTGGGAAAATCAGTTAACACATGGCTGAGGTATTGCCCAGCTCTAAGGTCCCAGGATCATAGGTGACACTGTGAGCAGCAGCCCCAGGAGTGGTGCACTGGGGCAGCCCTGAGACCCTCTCTTGGCTTCTCACATCAAGAAATAAGAGTTGCTGAGACATTTTTTTTTAGTAGATTTATCTGGTGCTTGAGCTGTTCAATACCAGCTGGGCAGACCAGGTGACCTGATTCCTTCTCAGTTCTTTCTAAATCCTTCCCTCTGGCTCCAGCCTTTTGCTTTCTGAGTTGAAAATTGGGGACTCTAAGGATAAGGATCTTCTTAAAGGGCACTGAGTCAGTAAGGATTCTTGGCTGAAAGCAATGGAAAGCCACCCAGCCTGGGGGAGGGAAGTTGAAAGACATTAATTAGAAGGATAGCTCCTAGAGTCCTTGGGGGATCTAGAAAGTGCAATTGAGATTGTGGGTAGGAGTTGGCCAGACAGCACCATAGGAACTGTCCTGTATTACTGCTACTGTGCTGAAAGATGTGCTGAAAAGAACCCTTGCCTTTTCCTACCCCTTTTATTTAGTTTTTCAATGGTCAAAGCTTGGAGTGACCAGATATGTGGGTATGTGGTGAGGCTGTTGGTGGTGATGAAGGGAATATCTAAGTGGACAAACCAGGGTCACAAATCTACACTTTTTGCATCCCAGGCCTGGGGAGAGAGAATATTTGGCCACTAACTTCTGCAATGGGAGGCTGGGCCCTTCTTTGCACCAAGATTCCCTGAAAGAGGAAAGAGTGTTCAGGTGCCAGGTGGTGATGAAAATGACAAGTGTACACTATTGCATCCTTAGGAGATGTTCTTTGATAGCCTTGAGAAGTTTGAGGCAGCTCAAAAGCATTGTGTTGAGCCCCAACAATTTCTCTTCCATAGAATATACATACCTGGGCACTCAGAGCCTTGACTGTTAAAGAATTAAATAAAAGGAATAAGAACAGGGAAGAGTTTTGAAAATATAATGAGAGAGAGCAGACCCTACAGGCTCTCCTTCTAGAGCCACAGTCCTTGTTTCTCTTGGATCCCTGGGCATCCCAAGAAAGGCAAGTGCCTAAGTTCTGTTGAAAGTTCTGGATGTGGTACCCTAAGTGCTGGGATCAAACACTACCCCTCACCTCTAGCTTTGTCTTGGAAAGGTCATTCTTGCTTTCTGGCCTTTGGCTTTCCACAACTATAAAAGTAGGGATCACTGGGGGGTTTTCTGTTCCTTTTTTATGGGGGGATGTGGAATTAGGGTTTGAACTCAGGGCTTTGCATTTGCAAAGCAGACATTCTGCTGTTTGAGCCACTCCTCCAGTCTACTTTTCTCTGGTTATTTTGGAAATGGGGTCTCTTGAACTATTTGCAAAAACTGCGACCCTCCTGATCTCAGCCTCCCAAGTATCTAGGATTACAGGTGTGAGCCATCAGCACCCAGCTGATAACTGGGTTTTGGGGACAGTGAATGTGAACATGCTTGTGATTAGTGACAAGAGGTCTTATGACTAATGAGACCCTCAGCCAGTGTGCAGGACTCCTCTCCCAGTAGTGGGGTGTTCAGGAACCCTGCGTGGCCACAAATGGGCTGTGATCCATGTTTTTGAAACCTGCCTTAGTCTCAGTGAGCAGAAAATGAAATCATTCAAGGACACTTTAAAAAGAATAAATAAACTTGAGTCCCGTCTGTTAACAGACTTCTGATATCTGTGGTGCTCACAAAGATGACAGGTGTGTGTGACTGTAAGGTTAGGGGACATTTGGTACCCAGCCCAGCTCTGCCATTAGCTCTGATGTGTCACTTCAACTCACTGCATCCTAGTTTCTTCAACTCTAATGCGAGGAGAGTGGACTCCAGCATTTGAGGAACACATGATCTTATTGATCCACTCTAGTGCCAGGAAGTGGGGATGGATGGCTTGAGAACCATTCTTTATCTTCAGGAATCATTGAATTGTTTGGGAGAGGAAGAGGCAGCAGAGGTATCAGATTTTCTTTTGTAACTTTTTTCTTTTATATGATATTTTTAAAAAATGAGTTTCCTGGTTACCTCCTCACAGTGGGTGTGTGAGCTGGCAAGTAGGTATGCTGTGAACTTGTTGGGGGTGCCACAGAGGGGAGAGGAGCCTGGGCAGAAGGGAAACCCTGGCTTTGAATAAGCAGCCAAGCAGGTGCTTATGTGAAGATCTCCAAGCTATAGCTGTACTTTGGTCTAGACATAAGAGAGCAAAACATACCTCTGGATTTATATCTTTTTTTTTTCTTAAACAATTCCCCAAATTTTAACAACATAATGTGTGCAAGCATCCCTTGGGGAGCTTGTTAAATGCAGATTTTCAGGCTTGGTCCTTGCAGGTTCTGACTCAACAGGTCTGGGGCTGACCTAGGAATCTAGGTCAACAGATGTAGTTACAACAGATGGCCTTGGACCACATCACTTTTGAAGTACAGGCATTAGATTCTCAGCATAACAGGAAAACTCAACAAGCAACACAGGCAGAAGGTTTATTCCATTGTAGACATGGTCAAGTCTAATCTTCTCTCCAATTTTAGGTTGTCTTGTAAATTTAGAGTTGGACAGGTAAACATTACAGACCCTTTGGGCTTTATCTCCAAAGTCATGGTGTACCCAATTCTCCCAGTCTGATTGGCTGCTTTCAGCAGTCCAAAGTATGTACAACTGTCCCCAGAAGGCAAACTCTAAGTCAGACTGCCTTACCTTGTACACTTCGAAGGACAGTGGATATTTCAGGTCTGCTTCCTGTGGCATGACAGTGAAGGACACAACAGCATTGTGTCCTTCCATGAAGTTTTGCACAGAAAAGAAGTAGTGAGAGTCACTCCCAGGTCTTCCTGTGAGAGAAAGAACCTTTACTAGTATTCAGCAACACCCTTGAAACTTCCACTTGGGACCATGTCCAGTTTGTAGAGTTCTGTGGGGTTGAATTATTTAACTCGGGATTTAGAGACCTAATGCCTGGGTTTCTCCCCCCAAAGTTACTAGTTATGGCAAAAGTTTCTTTACATTCTAAGCTGCAGTCTCTTCCTCTTAAAAACAGGGAGGGGAAGTAGAATTCCTACTTGGTAAAAATAAGCTGTAAAGTCAAGCCTATTTTTTAATAAACGAAATTCCAGAGTCATCAGGGATGCATGAATTTATGCATTCATGTTAACCATCAAGAGTCTTGAAATGGCTTCAATCACCAAGCACCAATGGAGACAGAGAAAACAGGCAGAAAGATGGCAATCCACAGTGATCTTCTACCCAAGCATGCCCATCGAAGTCAGAGCAAGAGAAAGAGAACTAATATGGGGACCCTGAGATTAAAATGCAGGAAGCAATGGAGATAAGTCAGGATAGAGATGAATGGAGCCTCATCAGAAGGTCTGGGTCACAACTGGGAAGCTATGAGAAGCTAGATGGAAGACAAAGACTGTCATGGTCATGGGCTTTCTACAAGGACTGAATAAGACGATGTATTAAAATGTACTTAGTAGCACATAGCACTGGCACCATTCCCTCTATCCATTCAAAGATATTACTAAAAATGGCCCCAACATACAATTTTGGTTAGTTCATTGATGTGCATTAGATCTAGGGAAGAGGGCTTTGGCTATATAGTCAGACAGGCAGAGCTCAGGAAGATGAATCAGTAAGAGTGACTCCGCATTTCTGTAGTATCTGCCAGACGCCTCTGGTGAAGAAGCTCTGTGAGTAGCAGAATGATCACAGGAGCCTGAGGTCAAACAGAGGGATACCCTGGGGTCTAGGGTCATTTAGGGAAACCATTTGGGATAGGCAGCTGCAAATATACACATACACACTCATACACTCACAGATGTGTTGTTTATAGCCTCTCTTATCAAGGATGTACTGGCATACTAAGACTCTACAGGGAGTAGTTTCATTCATTAATGTCAAACAAGAAGCAGGAAGTACAGTGAGGGAGGTCACTTTCCTAAGAACAAAATCAACAGCATTCATTTCAGAAGAGTCAAAGAGCTTCTGAGAGGTGCCTACTACTGCTAGTTCATAACCCAGGCAGGGCACAACTATCTTACCTTGTGTCTGGGTGGTGTTTTGTGGGTTTACAGACAAGGATTACTAAGTCCACTGCCTACATTCAGGGAGGCTGAGAGCAAAGAGACACTCTATATTCTCAGAGTCACGAAGTTACTATATGACAAAGACAATGGTTTAACCTAGGTCCTGACTTTTGTCCAGTGCTCTTTCCACAGCCCTTCCCACTGTCCTGGATACTTAATGAAGGACAGGGAGCCTGTTTCACTCCCCCTAGGTGTGTGGAGATGAGCAAAAGGGCATGAAGGTAAGGTATGAAGGGCCAGAAGAGACACATTGGACATTTTCCTTATCACACCCACCAGCAGTCATTTTCCCTGGAGAAGCAGTGGCTGTTCCTTTAGGCTGACAGCCTCTGATCTGGCAGAATGATCACCAATGCCATACATACCTGCAGTGTTTCCTAGGATCACTTGGTTCTGAAATATCATTTGGTCCCATTCTTCATGAGGCATGATTCCACGGTCCAGGATTATTGGCATCTGGTTGCATATGAACAGGCTGGAAAAGTTCTCTTGGAAATCTTGACAAGACATCCTGTGGAAAATGGGTGCATATCACTAAATGACCACTGGTCGTGTCTTCAGGTAGAGGTCCCGTATCTTCACCATATCATTTCAGAGTCAGCTGAAGTATCCACCTGTTGACCTACCACTGTCCTATCCAAAGACTGGAGTCTGATTCGGGTGCATTCAGTATCAGTCACCCTTGCATCTTTTCAGTCCCTTTCTCTCCCTTGGTTGGAAGAGCAATGATAGAGTCAAATTCTGGGTTTTGCATGTCACCTGGCAGGAGCTTTATCACTAACCATTTCTATGTCCCATTAATACAACTGTGAGCCCTCTCATGGCCAGTGGGACAGCAAGACTGTATGTGCTGTGGTCTTGCTTGCTATCAGGAAGTTTGTCTTTCCTTAGGGCCCTTTGCCAAATGTATTGTTGCAGTCTTTATAAAAATAAAATGGATTCTGAGCCTAAAATCCCACCTCCTACTGTGATTAAAGTGAAGATATTTGGAATGCTTTTTTAAAGAAAATTTGTCTCTCTGATTCCCAATAACTGAGACCCAGGCTCCTTTTCACACATGCTAAATTTCATTTCAATATGTCGTTAAGTAAACCAGACAACCCCTCTGAGAAATGTCCAACCTCCTCTAAGATGTGTGCATATGGCTGAGCATGTGTCTTTGCAACATCCAGTCTTGCCCGGCTTCTGGGTGATGACAATGATGTCCCACCCGGAATGCCACAGTTGGGCTGGGAAATGTACTTCCTGTTGCTCTTTTGGGGAGTCACACCAGAGGAGACTGGTGCTGCAGGGTCCCCACCATAAGGGTGTGACAACCAGCCTTCTGGTTTCGAAGGAGCTGTTCATTTTAAAACTCTGACACAGATTCCCCTTTGCCATAAAAATGTCCAGGGAAGTACAGTGCTCACCACCTGGATAACTTTCCACCAAGAGGGGCGCACAGCTATTTCCCATCCAAAGATTTTGGTCTCAGTAGAGAAAAAGATCCCTCTAAACAGATCCTGCAATGCTAATTTTCTTCCTCATAAAAGTTTAGAGAAAGCACCAGGAGTTAAGGGCTTGGACAATAAAGACTTAAAACATCATTCTTAAAGAAGGGGAAATACCAAAACTCGCCATCTTCCTTGTTCTCATACAGCTGGCTTTTCCGATGGTCATGAGTTTCCTGCCACTCTTGAGACCTGCATGTGGAGAGACAGACCATAAGGTGGTATCTTCCAGAGTGTTTATCTCAACCACATATGGCTTAGCCGGGGCTCTTTGCATGGGCCACTCTCAGTTCCTGGGAACTAGTGGAGGGTCATGCTACCTAAGGACAGGACTTTGTCATTCTTTACATGATGATGGCTTTCAAACATCTGTCCCCAGACTGCTTCTCTTTCCTGAGCTCTAGACAGATCTATAGTCCATTCCACATCTCCACAAGAGTCCCACTGTGACCTCAAGTCATCTGTCCCAGACAGTCCTCATCCTCCACCCCTGTTATTGCCAAGTAAGAACACTAGGAGTCTCTTCCTCTCATTGCCCCACCTCTGAACAGTCACCAAATATTTTTTATTGTCCTACTTCCTAACTCTTTTCATAGCCATGCCATTCCCACTCCTCCTTCTGATATCCTAGTTCAGGTCATCCTCCTTTCGCTCTTGAACATTCAACTGGGCTCCTGAACCCATTCCTGACCACTTTCCCACCCAAATTCCACACTGCCATCAAAATGATCTTTCTAAGACATAAGCTTGTTTTGTCATTTCCCTGTCTAAAACATGTCAATGGCACCTATTACTCTTAAGGCAAAGTTCAAACTCCTTAAAGAAAACTGTGGCCTCTGATTACTTGTCCAACTTTACCTGGGTTGTTCCCCATTTCCCTTTTTCATCCCTCCTTCCCCTTGAACTCCATACTCAGCAACCACAAATGTCTTCATTTCTCAGAAGATACCCCCCCACACACACCCATACCACCAACACACACATCTCTTGGCTTTTGCCACGATGCTCCCTCGATCTGGAACACTCTTCTTCCTCTTTGTTCTATTGCCTGCTAACTCTTACTAATCTTTCCTCCTAAAGGGCACTTTTCTGGGAATTCTAGCTCAGCCCCTTCTGTTCACGTGCTTCCACACACATAGTCCATGTAATGCCCTCTTATGAGCACAGCAGCCCCTTGCCCCAATTCTTTCTCAGCACTCAGTGACTTGTGTTGTTATTGCTCCTTTATTTGTTGTTCTTCCTTGCTGGACTTTAAGTGCAAGAGATCAATGACCTCGCTCTCCATGATATCATCTCAGGTGTTTGAACACATACTTAGGCACATAGTTAGGATGCAGTGGCTTTTTGCTTGTTTTCCTAGTTAATGAATGAGTGATGGCCTCTTCATTGGGATGATGCTTTCTGGGGTCTGGTAGAAAGGAGACCCTTCTAGGCAGAATGGAGATGTTTCATCCCATACTTCAAAGTGCAGGCATGTGCACAAACAACAGGCCCCAGAGGCACAAGATTTTAATGAGATTTTTCCCATGGAGGAACCTGGGTCACTTCTGTGACAGGACAGCAAGGCGGGACCACCACTCAGGCTTCAGGCTGCAGGCTGAGGCAGTCCGATGTGTTATTGTAAAATGGCAATTTTATAATTAAGTGATAATTACATTTTCTGCAGTGTGTAAGGGAAAATAAATGTAGTGTAAATCAATATGCTATCGATTCACGCAAGTTTGCCTTTAAGTGTGTGCAACTGAAATTTCAATTATGGCTGAGATTAGACCATCCGGCTCGCTCCATCCATCTCCATTCCTAAAAAGTAGAGAAGAAATCTACCACCTGCATGGAGACAGTGATTATGTGGTCCCCAGCGGTTCCTTCCAATCCAGGTTCTGGTGGGAGGAGAGTGACCCTCTACACCAACCAAGGGACATGTACCTACAGTATAGGGTCTGCTCGGTACCTATCGCTCCCCTGTTCTGAAGCCTTCGTTCACGCCCATCCCTGTAGGGTACGAATTCAAGCTTCAAAACTGGCATCAGGCTCTTCAGTCCTGCCTCCACCTTTCCCTGTTTCAGGCCAGCTTGTGGGACTATACTTGTTCCTGAATAGGAATCATGCCTGTACTACTACTCTGACCCAACGTCTTTTCTGGAGTATACCATACCCCAAGTTTGACAAGTACCCACATAGGTCAGACCCACACCTGCCCCTGGGCTTACAGAGAATCAGAAGTCCTGCCATAGCTTGGCCTGGGGCAGCAGACTGGGTTCTGGGCTGCCCCACATCAGGCCTGGAACACTGATTGACTGCATCTGCCTTCCAGAATTCACTGTTCTCTCTGTATTGACTTCTACTGCTTGTTAGGTCCTGTTCTGTTTTAACACATTGTGTGTCCTCTCTGGTCATGCTCCCAACCTGCCTCCTGCTGGCAGCAATGCTGCAGTCAGTATGTTGTGACACTTTTCATGGATCTGCACAGACCCTTAGTGAAATGCAACAGGGTGCAGTCTTACTTGCCACCAAGAGGAGTGAGCCACCTGTTGCTGCCCCTCTGTCCTTTTCAGGAGCACCTTCTCACTCAGAGTCATCAAGGTAGTAGAGCACCAGGGGTCGGTGTCATAGGAAATGCTAGCCTTGGAGAAGCCACTAAGCACACAGCTGGGCCCCCATTAGAACCTGCTCATCAGGGTACTCAAGACCAATGGACTCCATCTACTCCTACCTTGTGCAGAGTGAATTCTAGGTACACGAGGCACATGGAGTCCAGATCAGTAGGAAGGACTCACTATCTAAGTAGACTGAGTAAAAAGACTATCCAGATCTTTGCCTTGGTTTCTCCAACTCCCCCAGCTATAAAGCCTTTTCCACCCTGATCCCATGGCATCATCAGGATCAGAATCCACAAGATCCCTTCTTGGGATGAGGCTCCTGCTCTCTACCTCTCTCTCTCTAAGTGGGGGCTTGGCTGCTGCAAATCCTAAGAATATCCATTTTCAGCCTTAACCTTTAGCCTCCTTGAGGACAAATCAGGTCTTGTCATCTGTATATACTTAACAACACCCACCTAACACAATGCACACTTTCTAAAGTGGTACACAGTAGGTGTCTAATAGATACCTGGAGAATAGCATCATGGGAGCATGAGGTGTACCTACAGCCACAGGCTTGCAGTAAGGTCTGCAGTGGACAGGTCAGACACTGCCCTAGTGGGCAGGGCTCTTTTAGCACTGGACTCTCAGTGAATAATCTCCATGAAGGTTTCCAGAAGCCATACCTATCACTCCAGCGCCCAGTCCATTCCTTTCTGCCCCAGGGGTTCCATAGACACATGATTTCTTCCAAGCCCCTCCTGTACTGAATCTGTAATGAAGAAGAAAAAAGGGAATTGTCAGGCTCTTTGGCAAAAGTCAGCAGAAAGAGGAAATATGAATGCAGCTGCTTTTTACCTCCTAGGACTAATTTAACTTCTGACCTCATTTGGCTGCAGCCAGAAAAAAAAAGAAAGGAAAAAACAATCAACGTCTCTCTTGCTGCCTGCATGGAGTTGGAATAAGAGGAGAAAATTCCCCTTGTTTTGCTCAGCCCTGAGCAAGGGCAGGTGCATCTCCATCATGCTATGTGGCTGCATCCTGGAACCTGGGTGAGCTCAGATTTAACAGTAGGTAAATAGTAGGATCTGCTGCCTCAGGCTTCAGAGGATTTTCTGGGTCCCTAGCTTCCTGCAAGTCCTGGCACAGATAGCATCTCTATCCCATGGACACAGCCTGCATCCCTCCAGTAGCCTGCTAGGAGCTTTGCAGCAGGGGTTTTGTTTGTTTGTTTGTTTGTTTTTGTGAGCAAGGAGCATAAAGGAGACTGATGTGAATAAGACTGGGGTAGCCTGGGAGCTGAGATAGCTAAGGCTAGCGCTCCTTACCCTGCATCATGGCCCTGACCAGACACCCTGGTCTGAGAGCAGATGGCCTGCCATGTTCCTAACTTCCCTTTCTTCCTCATCATCCTCCACTTCAGGTACTCAAGATGCACCTTTGCTCCCTATAATCCAGAAGGTAGGTCTGTGGGGATTTTATAACAACAACAGCAAAGCCTTGAACCCACATTTCAGGGAGCTGGGAGCCCTCAGCCTGAACTGGGAATTAAAAGAGATAGCGCTGAAGCTGGGCTATTGATCTGTGCTAATGCTATCTGAGGAGACGAAGGGGTGAGGGAAGAAGCAAGCTTGTTCACTGATTATAGGTCACAGGAAGCTGAGAAAACCAAGCAGCATATCACCACGCATTGAAGAAACTCATACGTGGAGGCAGAACTCAGAGGCAGGCACCTGCTAACTTGCCTTATGTTCTTCAGTTCTCTGGGGTAAATGTTTCTACAGTCCTGGTCTTGTAGCAGAGGAAACTGAGGATCAGAGAGGTTAAGTGACTTTTCCAAGGCCACAAAGTAAGTGGCAGAGACAGAATTCTAATCTTAGCTCTGACAGTCTCCAAAGCACAGGCTCTTAATTTCAGAATGGGATGTGGGTAAAGGCCCCTTCTTGATGTGACTGTGTCCTTGGCCTCAGATACAATCCTTGAGCCACCTGGCTTAGGCCCATGAGGTAACCAAGAGGGCAGTGCCCTGAAGGAGGAGCACAGTCACCAAGGGCCCAGGACAGGTCTTTTCCTTTGCTTGTCTGCCCCCATCTCTGCAGAGGAAGATGTCCTGGCTGCCAGTGCTTCCCTGGGGCTCCCGGCACAAGCCCAGGCTTCCCACCCTCTCAGTTGCACCCCCAATCCTAGCACATAGGCTGTCATTAGCTGCCAGTACCTGCTGAAGTCCACTGAACAGGGACATGAGAAAAGGTCACCTGGCGGTCCTCAGAGTTTAATGAGCCACCCTCAGTGCCCAACGGATAGTTGGGGGCTCAGTTGGGCATGGGGAGGAAAAGCAGCCAGAGATAGGAATGGGTTGAGCACAGGGCTAAATGAGGCATGCAGATAAACACTCACCCCCTGGCCCGGGGGAGCCACTGGGAGCTAGGTGCATAATAAAAAATGCCAATTTCATTTATCTTCCTGTCTGTGTCCTGCCTGGAGGGAGGATGAACAGATTAAAAAGCACACTACATTTACAGGCTGCTTTAATCTTAGCACTTGTGGCTCAGAATTATAGCCTCCTCTCTCTGGAGGAAGAATTTATAACCAAGTCAAGTTCTTGAGTCCCTGTATAATTGCCCTTTATAACAGTGTCCTATTGGTGATCACATGGGATGTGGCCAGTTTTGCCAGGGCCACATTCAAGGGCAAGACCATGGCTGGGGATAAGAATGGCTAGCTCACATGATTCACTGCTCTGGCTATTGACCATACTCTTGACTTTGGTCAGCTCACTCAGAAAAGGTGCCACTGGGCAAGAAGTGGCCCAGTTTATCTACTGTAAAATAGTGTTTCCTTAAATGTATTCTCCTGAATACTAGCTCCATTGGCTATTAATAGTTCTTTCTAGAAAAAAAAGATTTCAAGGCTAATGATAGATTAAAACCAAGCAGTAGGTGTCTGTTAATACAGCCCTTCTCTGAGTATTTAAACCGCTAATATATACTATGAGTCTCCAGGAAGTGTGGGGTACCTTTTCTCAAATATATTTGGAAACCTGTTTTTATTGAGGATCTCCCAGGCTAGTGCTCCTGAGAGCGTGTTCTGCAAACTGTCAGCTGCTTAGAACAGCAGTGCAAGATGGACCACACAGGACAGGTGGTTGTGACACCTGTCATCCCAGAAAAGGTGTCTGTCCAGACCACTCCCTCATCCCATGCCCACCACATTGATCACAGCTCTTTTCCCAAATCTGGAAGCAGCATCAAAGTCTCATCAACACAGGAATCCAGACAGCATGGCCAAGTGACCAAACCCAGCACATGGATGAAATTTATTTGCTTTCCTGATACTTGTTCTCATTAAAGACAGAGTGCTGCAGGGAGCAGAGGGATCATATATGGCCAGGTGGGATGATGGTATTGGCTATTCCCACTGAGAATTTAGGGAAGAGAGGGTGGGACAGAAGGGCTGGGGTACATTTCCAAAGATGAGAGTCTGGAGCCACTGTGAACAGAATCTCTTGGCCCGGGCGCATCAGGGCAAGCCCTTCCTTGGAGGCATAAATGACCTCTGGCCTCTTTCTCTTCCTCTGGTTGGGAGATGAAGGACTTGGAGCATCTGTCTTGGGCTCACAGGTGGGAATCCCCTGTTGAGAATGGCAGAACCATCTACCACCCAGGATCATCTGATTACCTGAAACAGGAAAGAACTTGATCTTTTCTAAGCCCCTAGATTTTGGAGGGTCTTTGTTACATTAGTTTAGCTTGTATGTCATAAATAAAACCCGTTTCAGGGCAAAACTTCCCCCATGGGTGATCCATTCTACTTCCTTGTGAGGCTAATCCCTCATCTAGCTACATGCTCAACTCTGAGATCACTTCACTGAGAGCAAGGACTCTGGGGGCCTCCATGAGGAGGAAGGTCCTAAGTCAGAACTTTGAATGAATAGAAGGAACTGAGGCTGCCAGTCAAGAGGACCACAGCAGGCCTAAGATGATACTCATGTCAGCTTTGCCAGGTTTGTTGGACATGTGTTATTCTGGCTCCTGTTTAGAGGAGTAAGAACAGGGGTTGGAGCCCCAGAGAGAGATGCCAAGCCAGAAGGCCACTCTTACCTGCTCAGCCCCAATCATGGTGTAGGCATGCTGACTTACAAGCCCATTCTCCATCACTGTGGACTCGCCTGTCAGCTGCAGGGGAGAAAAGCAAAGGGAGCACTCAGCACTCACAGACACTGACTGAGGCAGTGGGGCTCCAGGCCCACTGCGATGGGGCATATGTGCTGAAACTCTTCTAGAGAGGCTGAGGTGGAGGCTGTGGGGTGGGTGAGGCTCCAGGTATTTCTGGCCCCAGGAGACACCCACTTCCCATGATTGATGGAAGCCACAGAGTCATGAGGACTTGGGCTGCTTGCCCCATCTACCACTCATCATTAGCAGACACAGCATAAAACATGTCTTCTGGGGCCTTTCTGGGATCAGGGAATCCCCTACTGCTCTAAGCCGAGGCATGAGGGTTTAAAAGGCACCTTCAGTTTCTGGTGGCATTTCAGATTAGGAAGGTGTGACTTGACCAAGCATTTAAAGTATATAGGAAGTACCCCCTGAATAGGGAGCCAGATGTCTTAGAACAGACACAAATAATTTAGGGTTCATGCAAGCTATTCAAAATGAGACATACCACCCTTAGGGCCTATGAGAATCAGGGCTGTTTGTAAAGTGAAGGAAAACACAAAAAACTTCCCATAGCAGCAGAAGCTGTAGCTGCCTTTCCAGTCACAAAGCCCCTGGGAACCCTGGTCAGGAAGAAGCAGTAGGAAAGGGCTTTGGTCAGCAGCATTTGAACTCTGTTCAGCATTTTCTGGCTGTGTGACAGTGAGTCTTTATTTAGCCTCGGATCCTGTTTCCTCTTCTGAATAGTGAATTCTGCACTCCCAGGCTTGGAGGGAGGGCTGCTGTAGGACTGAATGAGCTGACCTTGGAGCAACTCACCATCAGCACTCTATAGTTACTGCTTGCCTTTCCCCTCCATAGCTATGGGTCCTGGCTGGACACCCCCTGAGCAAGAGGAGGGTCAAAAAGTGCAATGGGACTCCTCATCTACTCACTCCTTTTGGGGTGGCACAGGTCATCAGGGAACCTCTCTTGGCTGCTGTCTTCACTGCCATCAGCAGTTCGGAAGGAGAGGCGTGCAGGCTGATGCTGGAGACCACTCCTCCCGTGAGGTCCACCAGGGCATCAGGGAGGTAGCCATAGTGCAGGTGAGAATAGGATCCACGCAGCCTGGGGTGAGGAAAAGAGTCATATTAGCCCTTGGGGTGCCTTTGGGGAGACAACCTGGGAAGAGGGAGTGCACATTGCCTCTCTTCCTCTCCCCAGGTGAGGCAGTGCTTCATTCACTCTGGTCCACGGCCACCCAGGAGGAGAGAAGACACCATGAGCCCTTAGTAAACGTTAGGTGTTAGGTGTTGTTTCAAAGAGTCTCCTGCTCCTAGTTTGGTCTGAGAGTGCAGTAAGGACTGATGGTGTCCCAGTGCCATGTTAGCTATGTGCTCAAAAATGAGCAGGACCTCGTCCCTGACCTCAAAGAGCTCACAGTCAACTCTGAGGCCAGCTTGGCCACATCAGCCTCTGTTCTCACTCTGAGTGAACCCTGATCCAGAGCTCCAGTCCCCAGATCACCCCTATCCTCTGAATCAGGTGGGAGATAAGGTATCTTTATCTTCACTCAAGGTACCAGAGGAAGGGATAAGCCTGACACACGCACCCTCAGACCTGTTCTCCAGAGCCCCTTGTAGTTCTCATGGACTTCTGTTTTCACATCTGTTCCCCAGAAATGTCCTGTCCGGTTTTCCTCCTGATTCTGCCTCCAATCTCGGCAGCCTATCCAGTCCTGGCTCCCCTCTTATGAGCTCTCAATCCTTGAGCAGAGGCCTGAGCTTTTCTTAGGCTCCCTTTGCCCACTTGGGGAACAGACATTAACACACCTGCCTCGGTGGGATGTATAGGGCTCCTGAGTGAATATGCATGTTGCACACAGAAGAGCCCCTGGCTCTGACAGCATTGTGAGGCCCAGCACGGTGGCTTCCCTCCAGACCTGTTTACCCTTCACCAGTGTGTGGGCATCAGGACCTGCTCTCCTTATACAAGGTTATAAAGTTCTTTGCTTTCCTCAGGTGTCTATTAGCTATGAAAACAAGTGAATCACTGTAGAACAGTGCAGGTAGACTGAGCCCATCCTGGGGGTCCAGGGAAGGCTTCTGGAAGGGGTATATTCTGAGCCAAGGTTCAGCTGGGCAAGGAGAGTGGCAGGAAGGCTCCCAGAGCCTAAACAGCATGGTGGAGCTGGACAGTGAGGAGGCCAGAGAGGCCTGTATCCCCTAGTAGAGAGAGTGGTTTCATCAGTTACAGTGACACCGCTGAAGCCAGGAGCAGATAGGGTTACATTTGCTTTGGGAGCTACAGTTCCTCTCAGAGGGGTGAACTGTGACCTCTAGTGGATTCCTGAAATATAGCCAGAGCAAATCCCAAAGGACAGGGAATGGAGGCCCAGTGGGCAGCAGACCCTGGGGCTGCTTCTTGGCTTTAAAGTTGCCCCATGGGTGCTGCTATCTCCAACAAGCAAACAGAAGTAGAGCCCTTCATAGGTGGTGGGCAGTGGGGGTACCTCTGCTGTGTTTTTTTGGTTTTTTAGTACTGCAAAATCAAATAGGGGTCAGGGACTTGGGCCCATCCTCACTGCTGCCTCTGATGGGTCTTGGGCCTTGGACAAGACCCTTTCTTTCCCTGTCTTTGGCCTTTTCATTGTAAATGGAGGGATAGACTGGATCACTCTGGAGCCCTTAGATACTACTTTCTCACCTTTTCACCTGCATCATTCTCTCCTCCTGGAGACTACCCAGAATTCCAGCAAATTCACTTTAGCAAATACATATCAAGCAGCCACAGTGAGCAGGATACTCACTAATACTCCTAAGTATTAATGCCTGGGGTGGCTTCAAGAGCCTGTGATCACAGAAAGCTAAGGACCCACAGAACAAAGGGGCAATTCTATAAGAACTGCCATGTGACAGATTTATCTAGCTTGTTTAAAACTGTGTGGTCTTATCCTCTGCTCTCCTTCTTTCTGACCCCAAGTTCTGACTGGTATTGGATTCTGATCTCTGGAGTGTTCACTTAGTCAACCACCCAGCCTCCCTTTGATCAGAATTATGCCCCACTGGGTCTGAATGTTCAACTTTTGACATCACACGTATTTTTGCTGAGGACCCTGGAAGTTCACATGCACCAGGATTTTGGACCCCATCCCAGAGCTCCACCACTTTCTCCCTGCAACAGCCCTTCCTGCTGATCTTCTCTGACTTCAACCAGAGTTGTGGGAAACAGCTGGGGGCTCTGTCCTCTCTTCACTGTCTCATAGACGCCTATCTCAGCGGCTCTGGTCCTTCTCTGAGGTCTCACACTGACATGGTTCTGTAGTCACTACAGATACCCCACAGAACAGGAAGTGCTTCCTGTCTTACCACCCCTTCTACAGCCAGCAGCCCCCTTCTGGCTGTGGGTTCCAGAACCTTCTCTCACTATCTATAATGCCTGTAAAACCTGTCCCAGCAGCTGCTGGGTGTTTTGACAGGGAGCTCTCTCTCTACTATAAAACATGAGCTTACAGATCCGGCTGATGCTTCAGGAAAACAACAACTATTCTTAGCCCCCTTGGCTGATAGGAAATAGAAAGGAGAAGAGAGAGAGAGAGAGGGAGAGAGAGAGAGAGAGAGAACTATGTTCACCAGTGCTGTCACTATGCCTTGTCACGAACCCAGGAATTCTGAGCGAACCTTCCTTATTCCTCTGCTTCAGCCTCATTTCAGGGAAATGTCTGTCTGCCTGTGATGCTATGAAAGAGGGAGGAATCCAGATGTCTAAGCCCAAGGCAGACAGGATGCCGAAGTGGTGTAATTCTTACCTGCGGAAATTCTACACAGAATGATAGGTAGCCTGCCAGATCTTGTCCCCAAGATCCATTTTATGACTTCTAGAGGAAAAAAAAAAAAAATCCCTAAACCTGGATTTCTTTCCCTCACATTTAACTGACTTGGCCAATTCATTTCCAGACTCCCCAGTTGCAAGAATAATTGAAAATTTTCATTCGGTGGCTGCCTGCGTCCTTGGAGGGAAAAAGGCCTCTGCATATGGACAGATGGGCTCTCCACATTTGTATGGGGTTCCCGTGTGCCAAGCATCAAGTTCCAAAGGAAGCAGAAGCCAAACCTCTTTCTGCAGGAATAACAGTATCAAGGGCTGATGGAAGAGTATGTGATGAGGAAAAACAGTTCTCAGGCCTGACCTGGGCTTGAATCCTATGTAGCCTTGGGCAAATCATTTCACTTCTCTGAGCCTCAATGTCCTCATCCTTCAGAGAAGAAGAGGGGCTCAATGCTCATGGAGGTATCTTCTAGCTCTAAAATTCTGCAACTCTATTTTGTTTGCTCCCGCATTCTATAACTTTCTTTTTTTGGATGTGGGGGGTGGGGTGGGGGAAGCTTTTAAATAGCTTTAATAATTTGAAACATTTCCTCCTCTACTAGGTTTCTTTAGGCGGTGGAATGTGGATTCTGGGGTCCACTTTCCCATTTCTTCTCAAGCCAAATGATTGCTTTAGGTCAGCTGTTAACAAAGTGGGGTCAAAGTCTTCATTTCATTCCATAAGCTTTCTAATTCTCCCAGTGAACTGCCAGGCTACCTCCTTTTACATAAGGAAGAAAAAAAAAAAAAAACAGAGGCCCTGAAATGATGAGGGTGGATCCATACTGGAAAGATAATGGCAGTGTTTATGTAAGTAGCTTAGAAGTGAATTAACCTCCCCAGACATGTGCACTGGTTCAACAGCCCTGGCTGTTATCTGGGTTTCAATTCTCCAACGTTAATGAACAGCTCTTCCTGAAGCTGGAAATGAGCAACAAACTTAGTTTTTTACAAGTTGTCTCAGAAGAATGTACACAAAGAGGTCTTACGGCACCTCTCCCTTTAGATTGTGACTTCCAGAAGGACAGGGACTGGTAGATTGTTGTTTTGTTACCACCCCATAGAGTTCAGGACTGGACCCGGCCAGGGCTATAGTCCTGCTAACTGGAGTCCTGCTATGGAGCCCCCTTAGGGCTACACCTGCTGTCATTGCTACCCAGAAGCTCAGCTTCCCATGTGGGACATGAAGAAATTTCTGACCCTTTGACCCTTTCTCCTGCTCATTTTCTCCCCAAAGGTGTGGTCATCTGTGTGGGATATGATGACTCCTTGCTCTAATGTGACTTTCTCTGTATCTCTGCCCACACAGCCCTTCTGTGGGGAACAGCTCCTTCCACAGATCCTGCTCACAGGGATTTATAGCCACTTGGCCCTAGTCATGGCTGAGTGGGTCAAAGGAGACCCTACACCAGCTTGGCCAGGTGGACTCTTACTCTGTGGAACTGGAATCAGATAAGAAGCAAGAGATGTGTTAGAACCAGCAAATGCTGAAGCCAGAAGGAGGCAGAGGCCAAGCTGTGTAATGAGGAATCACAAAGGAGTGAGTTTCCTGAGGAAGGAGAAACCAGGCAAAGAGAGAAGATGGGGAGTCAGAGCAAGCTGCCAGGCAGGTTAGGAACAGGTGTACAGAAGCTGGCCCTGCCAGGGAGGTCATAAAACCAGCCAGAGCTTTCTCCAGGCCCTGAGGTTGGACCTTATTAGAACTCTTATCTTGGAATTCTGTGAGATTTCATCAACCAATTCCCTATGTGCATCTTTCCCCTTCCCTAAAATATCACTGAAAAGGCCTATTTATTTTTCTTTTATTCTGTTTACTTATCTCTCTTTCCCTTCTTTCCGTTCTTTTCCTACCTTCCTTCTTCCTTCTTTCCTTCCTCTCTCTCTCCCTTCCCTCCTTTCCTTCCTCCCATCCTCCCTTTTTTTCCTTTCTTCCTTTTACTCTTATTCTCTTTCCCATTCACTGACAAACAACTATTTCAGGATGGTTAATGCGCACCTTTTTGTTTGTACAGGTTCTTATAAAATGTGTATTGCTGTGGTCATAGTTTCCATTTCCATAAATAGCTTTGTGTTTTATTGCTCAGTTTTCTTGCCCTATTTTCTCAGTACCCAGCCTCCAGGGACCATCCTATGTGTAGATTGGCTTCTGACTGCTGTGTGGCTTTGCATAGAGTGAATCTGTCCCACTGTGCCTGTGCACTCTGGTGGATGAACACTCCAGGCCACCCCCACAGCACTTCCAGGAACAGTCTCAGGCCTGTCCTCCTAGGGCCTCTTTAGGAATGTTCTTACTGGGTGTGAGACTTACATGCAATTAATCTAAGGGTAGTCAAGTGGCCCTTCAGAAGGCTGCCTTCTGGTACTCCCTCCAGGGTTGTTTAAGAAGTCCCGGATCCCCACATCCTGGCAAACAGGATGTCATTATCCAGCTTCTAATTTTTGTAGTCTGAGAGGAATAGAAGACACCTTATTAATCTTTTTATTTTTCTGATTGCGGAAAGTCTGAGCATCTCTTCACCTGTGAGGGTCTTTACACCAGCACCCTCTTCCACATATGCCCTTGGGCACATACAGCGCCTTTGCACACATCGCAGCCTGAGGATGTCTAACTCAGTGCCAAACATGGTGCCTGGCCTACACTTAAATGCTTACTAAACACCTGTTCAACAAAATAACCACCAAAAACCTAAGTAAGACAGGGGCGCTGGGAAGCTTTCAAATCCTTGAGCCTCTCCCACCAGAAAGGTGGGCCCTTTCATGGCGTGTTGACAGTATTAGAAGGAGCAAGTCTCTCCTTCCCCACAGCTACACACAAATGCAACGTCACTGAAGCCACATGAGACACTCAATTACCTAGACCTCACATTGAAGCATCCCACAGATGCCTTTGCTTGACCCACTCTTATTGGGTATGAGTGCCTGGGGCTACCTCCACCCAAGAGTCTCCCCTTACTCTGTGGAATCCTACCCATCCTCCAGTCTCACTCAGATGCCACCTCCTCTGACAACCTCAGCCTGACTCTCTGTGAGTCAGGAAGTCAGGATTATTTCCTTCCCTGCCCTCTCATCAGACTTTGATATTATAGAGTCGGCTCTCCACATCCACAGACTCTGTCTACAATTCAACCAAATGCAGATCAAAAACACTGGGGAAAAAGTTGCACCTGTACTGAGCATACGCAGACATTCCTCTTATCATCATTCCCTAAACAATTCAGTATAGCAATGACTTGTGTAGCGTTTACGTTGTATTATGTGTTATATGTAATGTAGAGATGATTTAGCATATACAGGAGGATAGTATAATTTGGATACAAGTATGATGCCATTTTACATAAGGATCACAAGCATCCATGGATGCTGACATTCATGGGAGGGTCCTGGAACCACTCTCCTTCAGAGGCTGAGGATGACTGGATTTCATTTGGACTAGTCTAGCAAACCTATTCTCTGTTCATAGCTCCCCTGCCCATATCTTGCTATGTGCTGCTCAGTTGCTCCTCATGGCCTTGGCATTGATAATTGCACATGGCAATTGTTTATAGAGGATGCCCAACCAGGTGGCAAGGACTTTAAAGCTCACATTCAAAGGGACATTGCTTGCATTCAGAGGAAATATTGAGAGCCACAGGGTCAGCTGGTGGGAGCATTGTGAGGGCAAGACACTGGGCAGGCACGACCAGCTGTCAAAACTGGGCAGAGACGTGAAGCACACTTACTTGGCATAGGCTTTCTCCAGCAGGCAGGGCCAGAACTCCTTCTTGTTTCGAGGACACACAAAAAGCAGGGAGTCCTTGCCATTGACAGGTAGGCGGTCATCCACCACCACTTCCACCCACTGGCCACACTGCCAGAACTGAAAGAGAGCCAAGCATATACCTTAGTAGAGCTGGGGAAGGAACCCTTCAATGTAAGCTAAAAGATCTTCACATTTGCAACATGACCTCAAGGACGCAACAACAGACTCAATCCAGAATGAAATCCCAACCCAAGTTGCTAGGCAGGGCACAGGTGTGCCATCCTCCACTGGCAGATGGAGAAAAATAGTCACAGAGCAAGAAAATGAGGCAGTTAGCAAAAAGAAATATGGGGGCGGGGAGAAGGAGACTTGGGTTGTAGTTTGACTTTGCTGACTTTTCTATTAACTGGGGCCTTGCTTTGGCAAGTCCTTGGTAAACTTCAAAGACATGTATGAGACTCTTCAGGTACTTCTTATGCACAGAAGGCAGCAGGGGGAGCATATGCCAAATAACCAAGATGAGTGGCACATACAGAGTTAGATCTGGGAACTGAGGGCTGGAGGGAGGAAGCAGACTGAGAATGCATTCCAGACTGCAAGGACTACAGGGACAAAGGCCTGGAGGTAGGGTGATACAGATGACTTAGGAGGGTTGAGCAGGGACAACCTCACTCTGTCCCTCCTGTCCTCACATCACGCTGGCCCTGCCATTACAGCAGAAAAATGAAACTGGCTGGCTTTGCTACTACTAAGAGTGCAAATATGCCAGATGTTCCTCTCCAAAACAGACTGCTTTCATCTTTAGCATTCAACTCTAAATGGTTCACCCAGGGACACAGACAAATGAGGAACATTCATTTCAAAGCCAGCTTTCTGAGTTTCTTCACTGGACTCTCCTGTGCTGGATGAGCAGTAGGACTTCTGGCTTCTGGCCTGCATCTGGAGGAAGGCAAATCTTCACCAGGTGGGCTCTGCTAAAGCTGGGAGGATGTGAGTTCTCATTTACATGGCTCTCTCCACAGCTGGATGTCCAGATGTTGGGCTGTCACATACAGCTGAGGATGCAATTTAAGAGCAGAGATGGAGACTGAGACAGACTTGTCAGTTGAGACAAAGCAAAGATGTTTTCATGCTCATTAATGAGCCAGTACACTACAGCTCAGGTTCAGGCACAGCTGTGGACTTGTGTTTTTCTTGCCATGAACAGTAAGATGTGTAGGTGGTGATGCTGAGGATCCTCCAAGGAAAGTCCCTCCAGAAGAGGGGACTGGAAGGCCATATGGATTTTGTGCTTAATTGGGTAGCAACATTCTATTCTGTGGAACTCTGCCTGAATTCTAGTTTTGCTTCAGATGTTGGGCAAGACATTTACTTCACTGTGACTCAGTTTCCTTATCTGTCATATGATGGTAAGATTAAGAGCTGCCTCAGCAGTGTGCCTGAGATCAGATGTGGCTATGAAAGGGAGAGTGCTGCCTCAAGGGAGCTTCTCTGGCTACTTCCATCTTAGAAATCACCCCCACCTCCATCTTCCTTCACCAGTAAGGGTGACCAAACTTGCTTTCCCTATACAAAGAGAAGATCAGATAAGGTTACTGCTACCAGGGAGGATGCAAGCGGCCTGACTGGTGATCAGGAATGAGGCTATGAACCACATTTCCAAGCTCATGCTCTGAGTGAGGAAGGCTGGCATCTGGCCAATGTCTGTATGCATCAAGAACAATGTGGGTGCCATTTTGTTAATTTCTAAGTGCCTGACAGGGAAACCAGAAGCATTTGAGGTGCCCCAGGCATGGCGTGCTTTCCAGAAACAGTGCCCAAGCTCACAGCAGTGAGACAAGACCTACAGAGGTCAGCACCGCAGCTGTTTCTGGGAAACTGTATGACTTTTATTGTCACCCAGAAGAACAGAGTGTGTCCTGCCTGAGTTTCTGTTGTCTTGACCACCTAAGTCACTCTTACTAATGCTGGCAACTCCATGGTGAGCCCAGGCACAGCTCAGTCCTGGAGGCTCTAGAGCAATCCTTGGTGTGTTTGTTGGACCAGCAGAGGTATAATATCACCAGATGCCTGTCAGAAGCACATAGTTGGATTTCAGGAGAGGAGAACAGGGCAACAGAGGAGACCCAGCAATGAGAGGAAGGGAACTTAGCAGAGCAGAAGGAGGCTGGTCTTGAGACTGAAAGGCCTGCTGAATTCTAGGCAAGATTATTTTTTAAAAGGCACACATCTGAACATATTGTAGAGAAATTTCCCAAGTCTAGGAAGAGAGAGAGAGAACCTCATAGAGATGTGCAATTTGAAGGTTCAGACTGCATACAAAGTCAGGAGAATAGATAAACGCTGAATTTTTTTCTGCAACACTGAAAGCAACAAAACAATTTGACAATAGGAGTTGTGAGAAAAGGAATGTGACACAGGAATCCTACATCTAACCAAAATGTCATTCTTAAATGAGAGTAAATGAAAAACTCTCATATACTCTGAAGGAAATTAGGTAAGGACCTACTTCTGTCTAATGGAGTTAAATTAGAACAAAATCTCCAGGTCAGGAATAAGGAAGGGTGAGAAACAGCGGCAAACAATGAGTTTTAAATATTCTTTTTACAAGAAACATACCTGTGACAGTGAAAAGGAAAATGACAATAGGGATAAGCAAAGATGCAAGAGGGTATGTAGGCAACAGGAAGCTGGAGTGGCAATATGGTTAACAGATAAAGAGGAATACATGGCTGAGATCATTAAATCATTAACTATAACAAACAGGGATATTATACCAGGTGGGTTTTTATTTTTTTGGTGGTACTGGGGTTTGAACTCAGGGCCCACACTTGCTGGGCAGGTGCTCAGTTGAGCTGTGCCACCAGTTTTAACAAGAAGATAGCAAGATCACAAAAAATTTGCTACTACAGAATACAAACAGGAAAGCACCCAGAACCAGACCATCCAAAAGAGGTCAATTGCTATTTTAGACTTTGATAAACTAAGCAGACAAATTCAGTCAAGTTAAAACAGACAATTGCAGATCATATAATCTGTACACTAAAATGCTTGATTCCATAAGTAAAACACATGACCTTTGGGTAATATCTACTCTTCTGTGTCCATGAATCATTAACAAACAATTGGCCATAAATAAAACTACTTTAATTGTCTCCCCAAATGCAGACATTTTATAAATGTAAATTTTATAAATCTGGTCATAATTTAATAAAACTAAAACTCAGCAACCCAGTGATACTCCCTGTAAAGCACAATCACTTGAAAATTAAATAATCCCTATGTACATATGAAAGAACAAATCAAAACTAAATATATATATTGTCTTAAAATTAATAAAAGTAAGATATTTCAAATCAAAATTTATAGATATAGATAAGATCTCAGAGAAAATTTATAGTCTTAAAGCTTTTGTTATTTAAAAAAACTAATAATGATAATTGTGTACTTTCAAAAGAAAAAAAAAGTAAAACTAGGCAAGAGATAGTAAAAGAGAATTAATAAATATAAAATTATAGTTCATTATATAGTAAACAATAACTTAAAAAAAGAATAAGATGAATAATGAAAGCCAAAAGTTGATTTGTTTTAAAAAATACAACAGGGTAATTGGATTAAGAAAATCTGGATTACAGGGAAAGAAGAAAAAGAAAAATATAGTTCTGGGATTAAGAAAGTAGATCTAGCCACAGACTACAAGAGATTAAATGAATTATCAGAGAATCATATTAGCAGCTCTAAGGTAAAACATTTGGAAATGCAAAAAAAATAGTTAATTTTTCCAGTAAAGTGTAAATTTCAAGAATTAACTCTAGCAGAAATGAGACCCCACCAATTTAATAGCAACTGAATTCATTGAAAGAGTTAAAGAAATCACATTGCTGCTGGCTCACACCTGTAATCCTAGCTACATGGGAGGCTGAGATCAGGAGAATCACAGTTTGAGGCCAGCCTGGAAAGCAGTTCAGGAAACCCCATCTCCAAAATAAGCAGAGCAAAATGGACTGGAGGTGTGGGTCAGGCAGTAGAGTGCCTGCTTTGTAAGGGTGAAGCCCTGAGTTCAAACCCCAGTCCCACACACTAAAAAGAAAAAAAGAAATCACATTTAAAAGGGAGGCAGGGCCAAGTAGTTTAACTATTATCTGATTTTCTTACTTTCTTTCTTTTTTATCTGTTTTTCTTTAACTCTGATTATCAAAGAGAGTCAGTAATTAGCAAATATTATTCAAATTATATCAAATTTTAAAAATATGCAATCAGTTCATTAAAAAAGCTAGCATAACTCAAGCATGATAAAAAAAAATAACACAAGCTAGAAACTAATTTTATAAGAAATTAGGTACAAAAATTCTAATAAAAGTTTTAGCAAATTGAATCTGACAGCATATCAGAAAAGTATATAACTAAAATCAAAAGGAAGCAGAATTTCAACTCTTGTCACTCTGACTCAAATGTGTAAGTTTCTAACTAATGTGTCAAGCAAAAGAGCAAAATAAGTTCGATGGATATTAAAAAGAGACAAAATTACCTCTAATGCAGATAATTTTATTAGGTAACTAAAACAGTCCAGATTCTAATAAAGAAAAAATAAAAACTCATAAAAGAATTTTGTAAAGTGGAAGATACAGTTTAATATATAACCAACTATAGCTTTTCTCTTTTCCAGTGACATGTATTTGGAAATGAAGAGAAAACCCCAAAACACTTCATTCACATTAGCTTAAAAGTTGTAAAGTATTTGGGAATAAATTTACCAAGAGGAGTATAGCACCAATATGAAAACATAGCTATAACATTTTATTGAAGGTCATAAAATTGGTTCTGAATAAATAGAAAGATATATCATGTTTCTGGAAAGGAATAATTAAAACAATAAAAATGTAATTTTTCCAAATTAATACATAAATTTAATGCTGCTCCATTCTACATCACGGCAGCTTTTCTTTTTAATTAGACAAAATGATTTTAAAACTCCCATGGAAGAATAAATGTGAAAGAATTACCAAGATATTTTTGAGAAAAGAATAATGAAGGAGAACTAGTTCTCCCACATGTTGCAATTTCCTAGAACACTCCTGTAATCAAAACAACATGACACAGCACAGCCATAGAAAGAGACGAGAACTCAGCGATAGTCACAGGGTTCTAGGTTAATGACTCTTCATTGTTCCCACCATTTCTTTTTATTTCCATCAAACCATTTTAACTCTCATCTTCCCTGTGGGTGGTCAGGTCATAAGCAGGAATCCTTTTGGAGGTAGGCAGGGTAAGTAAAACAAGAGGGCCACTCCCACCTCAGGCTCCCAGGCCATGAGGGTATTCAAGACCCCTGCCTCCTTTCGGAGTCACAGAGCACCCCATCACATAAGGAGCACACCAGTGGTGCACATACCCGGAACCGAAAAATCCCTGCGTACTGGTGGGAAAAGCTTTGGTCCATCAGGATCTTCTGCAGACTCTGAGGGTTCTGGGTCAAGGAGCCCAGTGCTGCCAGGAACCAGCAATCTCCTGGGAAAGGATAAAGCCGTAAGACACTGGCTGAACACACCTGGAAGACCCACCCCTTGATTTCAAAGGTCCTGGCCACCAGAGTTGGCACACCTCCTTCTGAATACAAGTTGAATATTTATCTGAAATGCTTGAGACCAGAAGGTTTTGGATTTTGGAATATTTGCATATGCAAAACAAGTTATCATGGGGATTAGACCCAAGTCTAAATATGAAATTCAATTTGTGTTATATACCTTATACACACAGCCTGAAGGGAATTTTAAACAATATTTTAGTGGGACTGGGCTATAGTTTAGTGGTAGAGCACCTGCTTAGCATACATGAGGCCCTTGGCACCCAGAGCCCAGCCTCAGGCTCCCTAGAACAACAAAAGAGAGGGAGAGAGAGAGGTGAGTACGTTGGGCTGAAATACCAGCTACTCTACAGATGGAGGCAAGAGAATCATGAATTCAAGACCAGTCCAGGCAAAGTTAGTAAGATCCTATCTCAAAACCAAAATAAAAACAAAAGGACTGGGAATGTGGCTCAAGTGGTAGAATGCTTGCCTAGCATGTACAAGGCCTTGGATTCCCTCCCCAAAAGTGAACCTGAACCAAAAAACAAAAAATTAGTGCTGATGGTATGCTGGGGTGATGGTATGGTAAAAGAGGACAGTGGAGCCACAGCCAGGCTTTGGCAAGTTGGGGTCTTGATTCTCTTTTTGTCAGAGGTGAGGTGCTCAGAGGTGAGGTGCTCAGAGCTAAAGTCACAACAAATTTTGCTGCTGGCATAGGTGACAGTTAATGGTTGCTTATACATTTGCAGAAAGTAAACCGTATTTTCCTTTGCTAATTATTTGTTCAGCTCCTACCCATGCAGAGGCCTCTCTAACTATGCAGGGGTTCTCTCCCCTTCCTCTTAAAGGATTCATGGCCTTGACTTTCTCTTTGGGTATCATTGTGAGTGTTTTTGAATATGCTTTCCTCCTCCCCAGTCTCCTTCCTTTACTTTGGCACAACTAATTCTTTGAATGCTATTTTATGGCAGGTACCATATACTTAGTGCAGAAGCCACAAAGACACCCTCAGACAGGTCCTTTCTCCAGTCAGGTAAAACCCTAAAAGGAGGATTATGGGATGGTGGTCAGGTAGGCTTTTTATCAGTTGGTCTAAGAAACAGTGATTCCCCAGGGAAGTCCAAGTCTAAGGGCTGGGAGGGAAGATGTTGAGTTCTTTTTCTTTTGTTTCTGGCAGCACTGGGATTTGAACTCAGGGCCTTATGCTTGCTAAGCAGGGGCTCTACCACTTGAACCACTCTGCCAGCCCAGATGTTAAGTTTTTACCTGCTTCTCCTTGTTGGATGTCAAATCTACTTGTACCTTCCAAGATGAAGTGAGGGGAAGAGCTGGTAGATTTTAGTAAATCCTTGGGAAAAAGAGGAAAAAAATGAGCATCTTTTATTCCTTTATATCCCAGTGTGGTACCAACAACATCATTCACTAATCTTTGAGGGATAAATGTTAATTCTTTTTTCTTTTTTTTCTTTGTGGAACTGAGGATTGAACTCAGGGTTTCATACTTGCAAAGCAAGCACTCTAACATGAGTAAGCCACACCTCTAGTCCATTTTGCTCTGATCACTTTGGAGATGGGGTCTCATGAACTATTTGCCCAGACTAGCCTCAAACTGCAATCCTCCCGATCTCAGCCCAGGTAGGATTAAAGGCATGAGCCACCAGCACCCAGCAAGTTAATTCTTAAATAGGTGCTTAAGATCTGAATGAAAAGAGTTCCCTTCCTTTTTCAAGTTTTACTGCTCTCAGAAAAGCAGGTAGCAAAGGCATGTGTATGTAACTGACAAAACAAGTATTAAAGGCACAAACAAGGTGTGTAAAGAGACTATATAATTAAGGACTGGGATCCTTATAGCAAGTAGTCAGCCCTCTGGTTCCAACAAGCCAGTGGTTTATCAGGAGGTTATAAACAAAGAAAAGCAAATAGAATACATTGATTAGGTAAACTTTTATAAATGTAATAAAGGACTATATCTTTCTATAGTAAAGTTTTTCTTGTGAAAGGGCATCTCTCAGAAATCAGACATCCACTCCTGGTTCAAGTCCAGACACGTGCCACATAGGATACAAGCTGCACATTAGTCAGATCTTTGCCCAAACCATGGCTCACACACAGACTAAGTCTGGAATACCTCTGTCCTTCCCCCACTTCCATCCCACATGCATCTGCTTATCACAGGAAGGGAGTTCTAGAGAGTGCCACAATGGGGCAATGTCTCAGGGAATTTGGGGAGCTCTCAGCAGACATGAGGACTGTGAGAGTCCTTAAGGGGAATCCCCAGGCATCTGGGGGGAACACACTGGGCTGAAAGTCTGGTTCCTGTCCTGGCATTCACCAGTCCTTTAGGTTCCTGCCCTAGTAGGACCCCATGGGACCACCCTCAGCAACCTCTCTGTGCAGCTCACCCTGATTTCCACTATGGGAGTTCGCATAATTTGGTAATTGTTCCTCTTGTTTCTTTTCATATTGACAAAAATGTCCTCAGAGAGCAAGGCCACATAATGCAGTGGATTCATTTCCCCAGCAACCATGAAAGCACAAAAAGTCCTATGCTAGTAGAACTAGCCAGTCTCCTGGTAGGGACACAGACTCGAAACAAAGGTGTGCCACCTGTATACACATCATTCCAGCTGAGAGCCTTCTCTTACCCAGCTTCCTTGTTTTCTTAATAGCTAACTGACACCATCCAGGAGAGAGGCACACACAGGCCCTACTGGGAGTGGGCCCCTTCTGCCAGAGCCATGGCAAGGCTGCCTGCACCTGGAAGCCTCCTCTATCCAGGCAAGCAGGGAAGAATGCCCTGACGGGCTACAACTGTGCACATATCTGTGGAAGTGGTTTTATGCTTACAGTAGCACAATTCACAATAGCCAAGTCATGGAATCAGCCTAGATGCCCACCAACAACTGAATGAATAAAGAAAATGTAGTGTATGTATGCAATTGAGTATTATTTAGCCATAAAGAAGAACAAAACTATGTCATTTGCAGGAAAATGGATGGAACTGGGGATCATCATGTTAAGTGAAATAAGTAACAAAGATTTATCTGCTCAGTCTAGATTAAATTAAAAAAGACATGAAAGCAGAAATGAGTCAATGGGGGGGTAGAACAATGGGAGGGACAGGAGCAAGAGAGGGTGAAGGGGGCTGAAAATAATCGAAATACATAATATGCAAGTATGAAATGTTGTAATGAAACCCACTATTTATTCTGTAAAGTTAGTAAAAATAATAAGATTTTTTAAAATGTAGGGCACTTCAATAACTGTTAATTTTCCCCTACCATCAAAAAGAACTATAGGTCTCAAAGGAGGCCTGCTGTCAAGAGTGGGGACATTTAATATTCTCCTGCATAGAATTGGAGAGGAGAGTGGAGGGCGTGGGTTTGGTCCAGGAACACAGGCAATTTTGCTCTTTTTTCTTGACCACCAGCTCCTCTGTTGCTGTACTGTAGCTTCTCTCTTATGACATGCACAGGAGGGTGGTGTGTCTGGGGGTCCCTCCAGACAGACCTGGTGTGGAATCCTGCCTTGGCATTTCTTTCTCCCCAGATTTATTTGTCCCCAATATAAAAACATCGGGAGACCTTGAACAATTTCCTCTCCTTTGCTAAGGCTCAGATTCTCATGAGCAAAATGGGGACAAAAATGTAAGAACAGTTGAGAGAATCAAATGATAAAGCAAGGCCATGGATGCCATGGTGAAAATCTTGCTGAGTGGGCGGTGCTTTATTCCTGAGTTATTCCCTGCAGGCTCCCAACAGCTTCACAAAGCAGGATGAATCTTTCCAGTGCAAATGAGGAAGGATGCGAAATACTCAGCATAGCATCTAACAGGGAACATGTTCAATAAGTATTGATTCCCTTCTCCTGTGATATCTGCAAAATTAAAAAGGCCATACTCATAGATAAACCCATAGCCTCAAAAGCATTTATTATTAAACAAGACAGAATCAAAACATGAATTAAACAGTCGATTCATAGACACTAGAAAGAAAAGGACAAAGGAACCTCACAAAAATAGGAAGGAAGTGATAAAGAAAACAATCTATAAATTATAAAATAAGCCAGAAAAAACAGCAAGAATATTAAAGTAAATAAATTGTCCTACTTGGGGGTAGTGGGTTTGTAGAGAACCAATCTTTGGCACAAATATGGTAGAGAAACTTAAATAAAATTAGAAATAAAGATGGCCTTTAGTAATATAAAAACATGATGTGAAATTCTATGTTAGTCAATTAAAAATTCTGGCAACAATTAATGTGCTTCAAGTTAGTAAATAATTTGAAAGATGAAAAACCTTTGGACAGTGTTTTTTAAGTTATCAAAGAATATCGCCCTAATACACCTGTAAAGGCTCCCCAGTACATGCAATTTTCCTGCTGAGTTCTCTCAAACACTCAGGGAGTAGACAAGTCTTATGACATTCACAGTTTCAGTGTTAAGAAAAATAAAGGATCCTGCTACCATTTAAGAAGCCAGCATATCTTTGATGTCCAACTTGAGAGAAAATACATACGTACATACACCACACACCAGCCCAGTTTGGCTCACTTATTATCATCAAGTAGGATTTGGTGTAGAAATACAGAATGCAAAGATGATTTCATATCAGAACTTCTAATAATATGAAACAGTACTTATATGAGCCAAACAGGGGAAAACATAGCCTTTTGATAAATACTATGAAGTCATTTGATAAATTCAAATCAATCTTTTATGATTTACCAAAATAACTGAAGTTATAATTAAAAAACAAAAGTTTTAGTTATTCAGGAACAGAATGATTGATATATTAAAAGAATGAAAATTATAAGGCAATTATTTCTAACCCAGAGTTAAGAGCTGATATCAAGTGTGCAAGGAAACACTGGACTCTTTTGCATCGACGACGGGCACAGCCCCTATATCTCCTGTCCTGTGTCTGTTCCTTCTCGTTCTGGGCTTTAGATCCCCAACAAATAAGGGATGTGAGAAGAGATAGGAATGACACCCAGAAACATTTCAGGCTGCCAGGCTGACTTCCAGAGACAAAGCCCATGAAGAAGGTAGGTGACTATGGCTGACAGATGGAATGCTCTGGCCCTGGACACTTTCCCTGTTCCTGCTGGACTGGCACCCCAGGGCAGTGGTGAAGTCAGTGTGATAAGATCCTAGATCAGATTCAGGCTCAGCTACTCCAATGGTGATTCAGCATCACCTAGCAGCTTTGCTTGCACGGAGGCTGCTGAGCTCCGCCTTCTATAACTTTGGTTTAGTAGGTCATTCAGAGGCAGAGTGCAAGAGTGACACAGCTATTTGGTGATTCTGAGGCCGGGAGGAGTTTCAGAGAAGCTGAGCCATGTGTTCCAGGTCACACAGGAAGCAGACTTGGAATCAGGCAGTCTGCCCCCAGAGGACCTGCTCTTTCCCTCAGCAGTTAGAGTCCTCAGCTTTAATGTTTTCTGATTCTGTGAGATGGACTGGGCCTCTGAGGGCTCTGAAACAACCGGTTGTGCAGCAGGAAGCTGTTATGATTAATTTGATATGTCAACTTGACTGCATCGCAGGGAGCCCAGCTATTTGGTAAATATTACTTCTGGGTGTGTCAGTGAGGGTGCATGGGGATGCAGTTAGTATTTGAATTGGTGGACTTAGTAAAGCAGGTTGCCCTCCCCATTGTGGGTAGGCACCATCCAATTCATTGAGTGCCTGAATAGAACAAAAGGTGGAGAAAGAATTTGCTCACTCTCAGATTGAGCTAACACAAGAGACTTCTGTCTTCACACTGGCAATTACACCAGTGGCTTCCCTGGCACTCAAGCCCCTGACTTAGACTTACTCATGTCACTGGCTTTCCTGGATCTCCAGGGGGCAGACTGCATATCATTTAAATTTTTAGTCTCCATTGCTGCATGAAAAAAATCTCTCATAATAAATCTCTTTTTTTTTCCTTTTATTATTTATATGTGCATACAAGGCTTGGGTCATTTCTCCCCCCTGCCCCCACCCCCTCCCTTACCACACACTCCGCCCCTTCCCTCTCCCCCCCCACCCCCTCAATACCCAGCAGAAACTATTTTGCCCTTATCTCTAATTTTGTTGTAGAGAGAGTATAAGCAATAATAGGAAGGAACAAGGGGTTTTGCTGGTTGAGATAAGGATAGCTATACAGGGCATTGACTCACATTGATTTCCTGTGCGTGGGTGTTACCTTCTAGGTTAATTCTTTTTGATCTAACCTTTTCTCTAGTTCCTGGTCCCCTTTTCCTATTGGCCTCAGTTGCTTTAAGGTATCTGCTTTAGTTTCTCTGCATTAAGGGCAACAAATGCTAGCTAGTTTTTTAGGTGTCTTACCTATCCTCACCCCTC